TTTTTTTGGAAGAAGGATTTCATCAGGATAGAATAAGAGTGGATAATGGAGATGAAAATTCAGAAAAAAACATTAACCAGAGTGACAGAGTGAACAGGTCATTTTTGGAAATGTATATCTATAAACATATATATATATGTATATATATATATATATATACATATATATATATATGCATACAATAACAACCAGTAAAAAGAAAAGCAATGAACTTGAAGGAGAGTGAGGAAGGGTATACAGGAAGGTTTGGATGAAGGAAAGGAAATAGAGAAATATCAGTGTATTGTAATCTCAAAAATTAAAAAAAAAAACAAAATATAAAATCTCAGTATTCACATGTGTAAAACTGTCAAAGACTAAAGAAAGGACAAAAGAAAAAAATGATGAAAAATGAGATGGGCAGAATGTTGAATTATTATATGGAAAGAATTTGAAGGGTTCTTTTGTCATTCACTTAATCTAATCAATACAACTGTTGACATATGGGAGACTATGAGACATTACTGTTACAAAAATGAATAAGGTTATTGTTCCATTACATTAAAAGATAATTAGGTGTTTCATAATATAATAAGTGAAATTTTGCTACAATAAACATTTAGACACACCTGCTATGTAGCAAGAGTTATAAAACTCAGACAAAGACACCAAAATGCAGAGTTAAAATTAATGAAGAGTTAAAATTAATTGCTCAAAGTCATTGAAATAGTTTACAATGAAGATAGAACAAAGCCCAGGATGTCCTCATTCCCAAAGCATCACTGCTCCTGTACCAAAATGCTACATTTTCCCTTTAAAAATATCTAAAATCACAGCTTTTTCCATTTATCTAAGCTTCACCCACCAGTATGACCCCACTCTCCAAGAACCTTTTTTCCAAAGGTGTATTACTATTTGTCATAGATTCTATGATGACAGTTTGGCTCTTAGACAATAATAGAATTTCTGGGGACTAAGGCCTAACTGGAGGAAATATACAACTGAGGGTAGAGCTTTGTAGATGTACATGGTCCCGACTCTCGTCTCCTTTCTGCCTCCTTAAGATGAGCAGCCTCAGCAACATGCTCTCATCACCATGAGGTTCTGCCTCACCATTACCCACAATGCATAGAGCCCAAAACTGTGGACCTTTGAAATCATGAGCAAAAACAAATTGAAAAAATTCTACTCCCATCCCCTCCCACCAAATCAGCCCAGATTGTGTGCTAAATTAACTAAGGAGAAATTTTTTTTAATTTTTTATTAATTACACTTTATTCATTTTGTATCCCCCATAAGCCCCTCCCTCCTCCCCTCCCGATCCCACCCTCCCTCCCCTTTCTGCATGCATGCCACTCCCCAAGTCCACTGATAGGGAAGGTTCTCCTCTCCTTTCTAATCTTAGTCTATCAGTTCTCATCAAAATTGGCTGCATTGTCCTCTACCGTGGCCTGGTAAGGCTGCTCCCCCCTCAGGGGGAGGTGATCAAAGAGCAGGCCAATCAGATTATGTCAGAGGCAGTCCCTCTTCCCATTACTATGTAACCCGCTTGAACACTGAACTGCCATGGGCTACATCTGTGCAGGAGTTCTAGGTTATCTCCACAAATAGTCCTTGGTTGGAGTATGAGTCTCTGGGAAGTTCCCTGTGTTCAAATTATCTTGTTCTGTTGCTCATGATGAATGAATACACATTTAATATCAAGGTTTCAAAGGTGGTGGTTATCTGTGCTTTGAGTCCAGCCCAAGAATAGATCGATCTCTCTCTCTTTCTCTCTCTCTCTCTCTCTCTCTCTCTCTCTCTCTCTCTCTCTCACACACACACACACACACACACACCACCTTAGTTTCTTACTGGCTCTGAAGTCATCATCGCCTCATCAATCATTCAGAGAAGGGTCTGCAATAAAAGTTCTACCCATGGCCCCTGTGGTTATCTGGAATGACCCAATGGGAAGGACATTAGGAGGAGTGGAGCCTGAAGACTCCACTGACCAAGTGAAATAGGTTTGAACAAGAAAGTGCAGCCCACCCTGGTGATAAGGTGTTTTTTTTTTTTTTTTTTTAATGTATAAGTCAGCTCAAAACACCAGACCCAAGGGGATTTAAACACACACACACACACACACACACACACACACACACACACACACACACAGATTTGAAGGGTGCTGAGTCCACGATCAAGGCAATGAGAAGTCTTGGGAGGGTTAGTGTCCTGATTTTCTGGTGTGCTCTCGTACCTCCAGTAACTCCATCCTCATTTAGTCATGTGAGATACCTCTGGTCCTTCCACCTTACAAAGAGTCCATCAAGGTAGCTCCTCATTTCCCAACTTCCTTAATCCTAATTATTTCTCAAGCCACCTCTGATTTGTACCAATCTTATCCCAGGTTAATATTTTAATAGAAAAACGTCAGAGGAATACAAGCATGCTTTCCACATGCGATTCCGAGGATACACAGTATACAGGAAAATGGTTCCACCACTGCACACTTTCTAACCCTTCTTAATTCTTGCGGCTATTTGACTAGATAAGCTCCAGGTTGAAATGTAACTTTATTATTTCCCCTATGATGAAACTAACAAAGTTTCTTAAGCATGAAATCAATCAGCTGCTAAATGTACAGTCACAACTAGCCTGTTTTGTTGAGAGGAATATCATGAGAGTCTGACAGGAGGAATGCAGGGCTCTATATGAACATATTTCATTATATATTTATAAAATTCTCAATAAAAAAGCATAGGTAAATCTGCTTACTCTGTTATTTATCTTGGGTAGGTGGTGGCAATCAGGAATTATGTTGGATTTTTTTAAACAAAGACAATGGTTCATTCAAAAAAAAAAAAAGCAGTGTACAAAATAGCAAAAACTGTAAAAGGAAGAGAATTGGCTTCATTTACTATTCTTACCAAATAGTGTCAGAGGTAGTTTTTGCCCCAAACTTTAAAGGGGGTGAGTAGGATTAAATAAGTTTTAAATTGGGGAGATTCAGAGTCAGGATTGTTTTGCAATCAATGGGGAAACCCTAGTTAGTTTAACAGAAAATATTTAAGGATGGCTAATTTTAAAGAACCTTCTATCTTACTTCACTGTTTATAAAGAAAAATAAATGGGAGTTTGGAAAGTTTGTGTCTGGCCTTAGCAAAAAGATTTAAGCATAACGATCTGTTGTGGAAAAACAAATGAATAGAGCAAAGCCTTACTGGATAAAAAAAAAAAAAAAAAAAAAAGGAGAAAAGGGAAGAACAGAAGGCCTGATCCAAGTTTCATAGATGATACTCTGTTGATTCATTTTATGTCACAGAAAAGTGAGGGGATTTCATAGCCAATGCTGTTTGTTAAGAGTCCATGACTTAGGTAAAACCCAGTCTTGTCACAGGGAACCTAAAGAATTCAAGAGTCCTGATTTCACCACTAACCTTCATAATGACTGTAAGCTTGTCAAGCACCAAAATGGCAGGAGAAGAAAAAAAAGGTATTGATATGTGTATTTTATACATCAGTGTTCTAAGAGCCTCAGGATTTAGCGAAGAGACTCTACAAAGACAGAGATGCCCAGGGAGGCAGGTTTAAAGTCACAGGCAGAGGGCACGAAAGGCAACAAAGAAAAGCCATGTCACAAAGAGGGGAGTGAACCAGTCAGCAGGCACATGTGATAACAGCAGAGAGTTTAGTATCACACAAGAAGCATCAAGGTCCAGTCCTGGTGATGGTCTTCTCCACCTATATCAGAGCCAGATCCTGCTGACTCCTGTACATCTTGATAGATCAGATCTTGAGAAAATAGTTTGAAGACTTCTGTAAGATTCTTGCCTTTTCCTCCTGCTACAAGTGTTTCTCCTTCTGCCGCTCTGGTCAAGGACCCAGGTCTCCAGATTGGGACAATTTATAGCTTGTCCACCTAGTCTGCTCTGGTGAGATCATAGCTTGCCATGAAGATTTTTTTCATTTTCACTCTCTTGAGTGTAGCAGGTGAGTTTGGAGTCTAGTTTCTGCCTGGATGAGATCCAGAAAGGAGTACCGATGGTTGAAACGTGATGTAACCACCCGTAGCTTGTTAGATAAGATGCAGAACAGAGAATCATTTTAAAGACAAAATTATCTGCTGAAGGAAATCATCGAAAATATCCTTATTTCACATATTTTCCTACCAACATGCTGTTTGAGTGTCTCTGATATGTCAGAGCATTTTGAGTACCCTTCTTGCCAAGGCTTTGCAGAAACATCCTAGGAACTCCTCAGGAGTCACTTGAGCACATGATTTCCCCTGCATAGCCATTTCCCTGAGGAAATGTTAAGAAACTTAGGTTCAGGAAGGAACATGGGTTAATCAAAGGCCCTATAAATTTTGAGTTTCCATATGCCTTTTCACTACCAAGATCAAAAAGTATTTAATTTGTATCTCTCAATTATTTACAAAAGTTGTACTTAAAGTATTTAAAAGATGTATTTAGTAGTATTTAAAGTATTTAGTGACTGTTCATTTTCCTAATACACAGTTGCTGTCAGAATTTCTGATCAGGATCAGATGAACCTCTATGTTAGTATTAGACAACTTTGATAGAATTTCATTTCAGCATACCATTAGCCTCCTTAGCATTTATAGCTTATATGACATATAATTTTGTGTGAAATTTTTACGTATAAAACATAAAGACCTTGATATATTTAAATAACTGTGGTTAGAGAAAACTACACTAACTAAATCTAGCTTACTAAAACTTTTGTTTTATCAAGGTGTGTTATTTCCCTAATTGCTAATTCTCCGGAAGTCTTTACAGGAGGAGATGAAGATGATGATGAAAAAGTACTAAGTGATTTTAATGTTCCTTACATGGTCTATCTGCAGTCCAGCCCAGAGCCTTGTGTTGGGACTCTCATTGACCCTCAGTGGGTGCTCACTGCTGCTCATTGTTCCTTACCGTAAGTGATTCCCTACTCATGAGAGCTGGGAGGAATCTTTGCAGGTTGGTCTGAGAAACAACCTGCAATGTTTTTCATGGAAGTAGAAGTTCCAAGAGAATAGAATCTTCTTCCATTTTTACACACTTCAGTATAGAAATCAACAATTCTTACAAGACTTATTTCAAATATTCATCAATAACCCTTCATAAATCATTTACTACACTGTAATTGCTGTTTAATAAAACTATTGAGGGAATAAGATAGAAATAAGTTTTCCCCATGGAGCTTAAATTCTGATATAAAAAGTAATCCAAAGCAGAGAAGGGGTCAAAGAATAAGGCATGAGAACAAGATGTGAGACATGGGAATTGTGTATAATGTTAGGCCTCTCTGAAGATATGAGGCCAGCAGAAAAACACAAGTCAACTACGATTAAAATCTGGGGATATTCCAGAGCAAGAGAATAACATTCAGTAGTCTCTGACATCTAACAAATGTTTGAGAATATTGGTATGTTTGTGAATCAGTGTTGACAAAGTAGAGGGGAAAGGAAGGTAGTCCAAGGATGAAGGCTTAGCTGGACATCACATCATGCAGGTAAACAAGAGAAAGCAAGGAAGCTTTGGACAAAATAAGGTATATCTTGAAAATCCATTTTTCAATCATTTTATGTAATGAACTCACAAATAAAAACATCACACAGTTAGGTTAACTGAGTCACTCAAGGAACACTGCCCAGCCCCACATTTCATATGTCTCAATGAGTTTTACATTTTGAATGGCCATTCTGAAGCCATGGGACTTCACTTGGGATTTTATGGTTTCAGTATCAATTACAGTTTTATGCACTTATTCACCATAAGAAAAAAAAGTCACGGTAGATTTGGAAGGAGAAAAAAATGTAGCTTTATATCATCTTTCACAAATCATGTGTCTATTATCTGTATGTTATATTTCCTCATCACTCACCACTACTCTTTTTTGTTCTTTCCAAATGTTATTCTACAACCAAGTGTATAGTTGTTTATAGACATACATATATGCAGTATAAGTTAGGATACCCATATGAGGAAGAACATTGTGTCTTTTTCTTTCTGAGAATCCATTTTTGTTGGGTGTCCCAAATCCATTGAAGTGATGGAGAGACAGATCAGCAGTTAACATCACTTGCTGCTCTTCTGAGAGACCTGGATTTGGTTCCCAGCATGCACATAGCTACTCAGAATTCAAATACCCAGGAGAAGTTTCTGCCCTCCACAAACAAATGCACATATGTGGTACATTATTCATACTTGCAGGCAAAGCACTCAAACACATAAAATATTTGGAATTTTTTTTTTTTTTTTTTTAGAAAACAGGGAAGATGTATGAGGGAGTCTGATCGGGAGCTTCAGCTCCATTTCAAATTTGTTACTCTTAGCCTTCTGGTTTTTTAAGACAAGTTTAGTTCAACAGAGATTGAAGGCTTGCTCTTTGCATTGACATGGATTACACAGGAAACAAATGCAGATCACGAGCTGGAGCTAGTAAATCAGACTTCCTATCACTACTATCTACTATTAACTGCTTATAAAAGGAAATGTTTCTTTTTTTTTTGATACGACTGGCTTTTTTTATGAAAGGAGAATATGGCTCTGATAACAGAAAATGGGGACTTGGTATCTCCATAAAACTATGGAGCTTTAGGAATTTAGGATCAGTGAAGACAATGCATAACAAAAATAATTTCATAATCCTGAGAAGAGCACTGGATAGGCTAAGAATGCTAGAAGCAGTAGGTACTGGCTCCAAACCAAGGTGGGTAAGTCTGGAGTATACAAAAAGCTCTGGACCCCTCAGTTGTGGTGATTTGTCTACTGGCTACTAGTTCAGGTTATTCAAATCTTAATTAGAATTAGGGTCTACTGAGTGTTGGTATCAGATCCTGTTTTGGTCATTCTTATAAACACAGTGATCCTTTAAACTACTGTTTTATTTTTTTAATTTTAATTTTTTTCTTTTTATTATTAGTTACATTTTGTTAACTCTTTACCCCAGTTGTATCCCGCTCCCTCATTGCCCCCCAATCCCACCCTCCCTCCCTCATCTCCTCCGTGCCCCTTTCCAAGCCCACTGATTGGGGAGGACCTCTTCCCCTTTCATCTGACCCTGTTTTATCAGGTGTCTTCAGGACTGGCTGCAAAGTCCTCCTCTGTGGCCTAGGAGGACTGCTCCTCCCTTGGGGGGTGGGGAGGTCAAAGAGCCAGCCATTGAGTTTCTGTCAGAAATAGTTCTTGTTCCCCTTACTGTGGGAAACCAATTGGTTACTGAGCTACCACAGGCTACATCCGAGCAGAAGTTCTAGGTTATATCCATACATGGTCCTTGGTTGAGTGTCAGTCTCAGAAAAGACCCTGTGCCCAGATATATTTGGTCCTTGTGGCGCTCCTATTTTTTCCACGTCATACTAACTCCCCTTCTTTCATATGATTCCCTGTACTCTGCCGAAGGTTTGGTTATGAGTCTTAGTATCTGCTTTGAAATACTGCTAGGTAGAGTCTTTCAGATGCCTTCTGCGGTAGACTCCTGTCATACGTTCAATGCACATCCCACTTGTCTTTCTAAGTGAGGAATGATCATCTTACCCCATGTCTGCTTTCTTGATTATCTTCTTTAGGTGTATAGATTTCATTATGTTTATCATATCTTGTAGTTCTATATAAGCAAGTATATACCATGTTTATCTTTCTTCTTCTGGGGAACAGAGCTAAACATAGAATTCTCTGTAGAGGAATATAGAATGGCAGAGAAACACTTAAAGAAATGCTCAACGTCCTTAGTCATAAGGGAAATGCAAATGAAAATGACCCTGAGATTTCACCTTACACCCATCAGAATAGCCAAGATGAAAAACTCAAGTGACAACACATGCTGGAGAGGTTGTGGAGAAAGAGGAACCCTCCTCCATTGCTGGTGGGAATGTAAACTGGTACAACCACTTTGGAAGTCAATCTGGGACTTTCTCAGACAATTAGGAATAATGCTTCCTCAAGATCCAGCTATACCACTCCTAGGCATATATCCAAAAGATGCTCAAATACACAACAAGAACATTTGCTCAACCATGTTTATAGCAGCTTTATTTGTAATAGCCAGAACCCGGAAACAACCCAGATGTCCATCAACGGAAGAATGGATACAGAAATTGTGGTACTTTTACACAATGGAATACTACTCAGCAATAAAAAAGGAGGAAATCATGAAAATTTGCAGGCAAATGGTGGAATCTAGAAAAGATCATTCTGAGTGAAGTAAACTACTGTTTTATACACTGGATTAGTTTACTTCAATTATGCAGAGAAGTTGATTGGATAAGGTGAATTCTGACATTTCTTGTAGTTTTACATTCTGTGACTATTTTCTGTGCCTTTTCTTTTCCCCCAAGAAATAAAATCCGACTGGGAGTTCATCAGCCCAACATCAAAAATGAGAATGAGCAGATATACAGTTACTCAGTGACTGTAATCCATCCTTATTTTGATGCAAAATTTCTGAAACACGATCTGATGCTGATAAAACTCTCTTATCCTGCTACTATCAACACAAATGTGGGAACTATAGCCATAGCTATGGAACCCATGATATTTAATGAAACCTGCTTCGTACCAACATGGACCTGGAATAACTACAAAAACTGTGAGTATTTGGCTGTAATTTCTTCACCCTGGGGAAGTCGGAGCTGGAAAAAGATATGGTTGGATATACATGATAAAAGGAGGTAAAATTAAAAAAAATTCTTAATCCTATAGTGATTACTAGAAGACTTGGTACTCCTAGGAGGTGTCAGACAAACTCATGAGACTGACACAGGGCAGCTACTCTGATAGCACTAAATAGGCAGTAATTACGAGAATGCTCTATCTTTTAAATACTTGAGAACTGGGGCTAGCAAACTGAACCCAAATAAACTTTTAAAAACTGGGAGTTTCCATTGACAAAAAAAAAAAGGTATTCAGGCTGGAGGGTGGGCTTCTCAGCAGGAGCTGCTGATAGTCTACCATACATTCCTTAGAAGAGAGGTTAGAAAAAGCAAAGGGAGCCTTTTGTGAAAGGTGAGGGAACAGAATGCTTTCAACCCTCTACCACAGAAAATCCAGCTGTGTCTAGGGACATAAGGACATTCTTTTCATTAGATTCTGGATGACAAAGAAATGGTTGAAGGAGTAAAATCTACCCTCTTGCTAGTGCTAGTTATACAGAGTATAATTTTCATACTTTGTGTCCCAGCTGGAAATTCCTACTTGTGCATGTAGGCTTGGGTGGTTGGAAGATAAGTGACTACAGGATGTTTGTAGTTATGTCTCTAACTTGCCACACCTGTGGGAAAATAATCTCAGACTGTAATATCAGCATACATCTCTCTCTCTTGTATGGACCCAAGTTGGCAAGAATAGAGTGAGGGGATGGCAGCAAGAGCTTCTCTCCCAACATGACTTTCTCCTGTGCTTTTTAGTCCGTGATGGCTATTACTTCCTGTGATTGCTTGTATGTTGAGATTATCTTAGGTTTTCTCAAAGTTGCTCCACCAGGTTGAAATCCAACATCTGGTGTCTACATCATGCAAATAAAATAAGAACTTTCCAAATAAATATGTTTTTCACATCAAATAAACTATAGGACATTGATTTTTTTTATTTTTCTTTTCAGTATTTTGCAACTTTGTACTTTAGAAATAAACTGCTTAGGAATCTTAAGTGAATATGCTTCCTAAAAACAAAACAAAACAAAACAAAACAAAAAAAACATGTCATGTGGGTTTTGTCATTGATTTTTAAAGCTTTATTTGAAGTAATTACATTAGCCTTACAAAACTAATTTACTAAGTACAATTTGAAGTAAAGCAAACTAGATGACAAGTCTATTGTGTCAGCTCTGTATGTCAAAATAATAATAATGACAGATGACAGACCGTCTCTAAAAGGCCTCTCCTATAAAGGTCTCAGCTTCAATAAGGAAGTCTTCCATTCAAGTAACCTAATTTATTTTCACATAGTTTGTAAAGTAAATTTTTCCTGAAAATAAAAATACTTAAAGCTGAATATAACCTCTCTCTCTCTCTCTCTCTCTCTCTCTCTCTCTCTCTCTCGATGTGACATGTTTTCGTTTAGTTTACATGGCACTGTTTTTCTAGATATATTATTTGTTCCTTGGGTACCACAATGCTCAGCTTGATAAATTATTGATTTTTTTCTTTCTTGCTTGCTACTTTCTACTGGATATTAAAATACTTAAAGTTAAAATACCTTGGCTTAAGCCCCTGTAGCCAGACACATAGAGTATATGTGCAATTTCTATGATGGGGATTAACAGCATGAGCTCTCAGGGGACATGTGCTTCTCTATAGAGATAAACATACATGAACCATTTACAAATGGTCAGTTTATGGCCAGGCAACTTCATTATAGCATTCTAGACAATGAAGAGAGACATGTAATGGCAATCCTACAAAATTCAATTTACAGCTTAAAAACTCCTATCAATAGCATTATACTAAACTTTACTATGTTCATATATGTTTAAAAACACAAGTTGTCACCATTGTGTGACAATAGTCACTGAAGTCACATGCTAAGCAGGCCTATAGCCTAGTCACAACAGTCTATAAAATGTAGCTTAGATAGGTAGTGGACACTACCATTTAAATTTGTGTACACCCTGCCTAGTGATAACACTTCTCAGAACAGTTTCACCATTAAGTAAGGCATAACTGGAGTTTTGGAATAGCAAGGTGGCTTCTGAGGTAAAGACACTTACCACCAAAACTGATGCCCTGCATTCAATCCTCAGACCCACACAGTGGAAACAAAAGGGCTGAATACCACAAGTTGTCATTTGATCTTCACAGGCTCACCATGGCAAATGGACATGCAAACATGCAAACATGCACACATGTGCGCACACACACACTTATGCATACACTCACAATGAAGTATATAATAATTAATTATTATTTATATATTTTATAAGAAATAATATATTATTTTTACCAAAATAATATAGTGTCAGTCTATACATCATTTAACTGTATTAACTCATCCCTTAAATTGTGGAAGAATTATTTTTCCTCTTTAAAATGTATTTATTTTTTCATTAATTGTAGTTTAATCACTTTGTATCCCAGCTGTAGCCCACTCCCTTTTCCCCTCCCAAACCCACTCTCCCTTCCTTACATCCTCTCATGCCCCTCCTCAAGTCCACTGATAGGGGAGGTTTTCCTCCCTTTCCATTTGACCCTCACCTATCAGATCTCATCAGGACTGGCTTCATTGTCTCCCTCTGTGGCTGGTAAGGCTGCTCCCCTCTCAGGAGGAGGTGATCAAAAAGCCAGCCCATGAGTTCATGTCAGAGACAGCCCCTATTCCCCTAGTAAGGGAACCCACTTGGAGCCTGAGCCACAATGGGCTACATATGTGCAGGGGTTCTAAATTATCTCCATGCATGGGTCCTTAATTGGAGTATCAGTCTCAGAAAAGACCCCTGGGCCAGACTTTTTGGTTCTGTTGCTCTCCTTGTGGAGCTCCTGTCCCCTCCAGGTCTTTCTATCTCCCCCTTCTCTCATAGGATTCTCTGCACTCTGCCCAAAGTTTGGCTATTAGTCTCAGCATCTGCTTTGATACCCTGATGGGTAGAGTCTTTCAGAGGCCCTCTGTGGTAGGCTCCTGTCCTGTTCCCTGTTTTCTCTCTCTTCCAATGTCAGTCCATTTGCCTTTCTGAAGGAGGATTGAGTATCTTACACAGGGTACTCCTTGCTTAGCTTCTTTATGTGTACAGATTTTAGTATGCTTATCCTATATTATATGTCTAATATCCACTTATGAGTATATACCATGTGTGTCTTTCTACTTCTGGGTTATTTATGTATCTTAAAAGAGTAATTTTTATGGACATTGGTTTTATTGATAAAATCCAACAAAAGGTGGTACCAGGGATTTGGAGAACAAAGGGTTTGCTTCTTTTCCTTTGTGGACATTTATAATCTCCAGACAATTGTTTCAAAACTTTGTGAATTATGCATAGTAGATAGAACTATACATCTAGTTATGGATAGGTGAGGAACTTTGGAATCTACTTCTCAAAAATGGAGACTCTACATGAGAAACTAAGAAGGAATGATTGGAGTGTCTCTAGCTACCTACACTGACTATTTTTGGGGATTAATTGATTCACAAAACAGAGGCTAGTCACAAGGTCACAAATCGGAAGAACAGCTCTGGATCTCATATGTATTTTCTTTTCTCACAGTCAGTGACCCAGACATCCTGACATGGACAAATCAGTATTCTCATTCCCAAAGTTACTGCTGGAAAATTCTCCGACAACAGAGACAAGAAACAAGAATAAATATTATGTGCATAGGACATTCACTTAATCCTATGTCTGCAATAAAGGTACATTCCTTTCTCCATGTAAGAAGATAGTACAGAACCCATTAAGGAGAGAGAGATGGTTGGAAAAATCAAACATCATGTATCAAAAAGACCCTCCACAGTGAAGGGCAGAAAGCAGAAGTCCCTCTCCCCAACTCCTCATTCCGCAAAGTGCTTCATTCCCCCATCTTAGAATGGGAGAGCTGCTGCCTGCACTCAGGTTAGATAAAACAAACTTCAAAGGGAGAAAATACAGTGGATAGAATCTAAAGTTGTCACTTCTGCCAAAAATGACATTCCCCCAGATGATTTCTCCATATCTTAGGACTCACTCTTGATCCATGACAATAAAGTGATGTTACCATTATGTCTTTTTGTGTTAGGAAGTCTCTGCTGCTCCAGCCATCTGTGGTGGAAGGCTGCATGGAATTTTGTCCTGGGGGAAAGCAGGTGTCACCAAGGGGAGCGAGGGCTTTTTCACTGAAATTCATCCCTATGCGAGATGGATCTTGAAAGTGATGCATTCCCACTGAGAAGCTGTAGTGTAACCTAATGCAATCTCTACAATGGACCAACAACTCTCTTCATCTTTTTTATTGAAAAAAAGTCGAGGATAAAACATCCAATAAAGTAACACCAGAAATTTGTGACTCTTATTTTTTTTTTTAATGTAGACTTTGAGAACAATGAGAAATTTAGTAATGAACTATTTGTTTATTCACACACAAAAAAAGATTGCTCACCATGGTCATGATAGCTCTTCACAGCAATAGTACAGTAAGACAATCGAAAATGATAACATCCATAGGAGAATCTCCACGATTGCTTGAAGACATCAACTGTTGCAGTCCATCCATTTGTAAGTGGATGGAATGGAAAATATATTGAGTGGTATAACAAATCCAGGAAGACAAAAGTTGTATATTATTCTTATTTGTAGATTCTAGCCTCAAATCCTTAGATTTGAATATATATCCTGAAGTAATCACAAAAATTACAATTGGACCATAAGTGTTGGAAGAAGGAGCTCTAAAGAAGGGAATAGTTGGACACAGATGAGATGAAGAAAGAATGAGGAAACTAGGGAATACATAACTTAGCAGGAGGAGAGAGGTTGATACAGAAGGAGAGGGAGGAAGAAAAGTTAAATAACACTAAGGATGTTTGATCAAAGAAAATAGGGAAAATTATTTTATAAGCTCACTTAAAAATACCCATGTGTGTGTGTCTAAATATGCACATATTTTAAATGGGGTGATATTTCCCCTGGGGGCCATACACTAACAGAAATTCCAATGTTGGACAATAAAACGGCCCCTTTTAGTTAATTGTCAGGGGGTGTGGAGTTAAAGACGCCTCAGATAACATAAGCTATTGTCATTGCATCCCAGAACTTGAAGGTAAAGCTCTACTACTGAAAACATTAAACACTCCTGACAAAGGACTTGGAAGAATCAAGATAGAACTAACCCATAAGCTTCCATACTGAGGACTAGCTCTCACAGTTATCAGAAGAGGTGATACATGCTGCCAAGAAAGAAAAGCAATCAATAGTACTATCTAGCTATAAAGTTTAGAACCAATATAATGACAAGAACACCAAGGTATCCTCAATGGTGCAATGGTGGCATTTCTATCTTGGGAGTAACTGACAGTGGTCATGTTTAGGCCATCATGATACTGAGACACTCAGTTTTAGATTCTGACATTCTTAGGAGACATGGTCTCTGGTTAATATTACAATGTTTCTTCCCCATCTGCATCAATGATTCCTGAGTCTTAGGTATGGAAGTTGTAGAGGTATCCATTGGGACTGGGCTTCACATTTATGCATTTTTTGGGGGGGGTTATAGTTTTCTGTACTGAAAATATATACACAATTAACATACAAACTGAGAAGGTTTCATTTGTAAATTTAGCAATAGACGATAGTTATGGTAGATATAAGATGATGTAGATAGATAGATAGATAGATAGATAGATAGATAGATAGATAGATAGATAGATAACAGCAACAATTAATAAAAAAGGTCATAAATTTGAAACTGAATGAGTAGAGGTATATGGGAGGATTTGAAAGGGAAAGGGGGATGATAAAACTATATTTTAATATAAAAACAAAATAAATGATTTTAAATTTTAAAAAGAGCTATTAAAATAACTTTCAATAGTCACTTGTACCAAATGATGTCTCATTTGCTAGTAGGAAGAAGTATCACTGAGGACAGACAGACACCACCAAATCCAGAACCATACCTACATTTTTGACCCTTTTACTTTCCATCTTTCCTGCTCTACTGGAGAAAAGGTCCTGTTACCTACAGACTGTATCTCAACCCCACACACACACACATTCCCATTGACTTTACTGTTTACTTGTCTGCGTCTCCTTTACTGACTTGAATTTATGTCTTTTTTTTTTTGAGACATAATATTGAAAATGTTTGTGGAGTAAGTGCTATAACTGAATACTTGCATACAATGAGTCATGATTAAATTAGGGTAATTTATACCTCCTCAAACACAATCATCTCCATGTATCAGGAAACACTGAACTCTTCACTATACCATAAATTGCTGTGAGCTATATTTCTTCCACTGTGCTAGAGAAAGCAGAAATTGTATCTCCTGTCATTGTGTTTTGGTATGTCTTCTCTCCTCTTAGCTTCTTTTGCCATCACTTGAACTAGATAAGCCTCACTCATCTAAAATATGAACACCACGCACATGCTTTCCAGGTCTGCATTATTTCAGAACTTTTGAATTTGTTTTGTAGGATTCTCCTCTCTATTAATCCTTCTCTCATTCTTCTCATAATTCTTCTATTGCTATATATGGAAATTTTTAACACAAACCGAATGCCTTAAAATAGAACATCTTTATGACCTCACTTTCCCTGGGTTCATAGTTCAGGCACAAGTTAGCTAGGCTAGCTCCTCAGTTTCTGAGAAAGCTTCAAAAAGGGCAATTATTCCTCAATTGTTCAAGCTTACAGAAAAACTCATTGCCTGTGTTTACACTTCACAGGGTCATGGGTTCCCTGCTTGCTCTTAGCTGAGCACCATTTCAGGTTCATGGACTGCACTACTTTGAGAGGTTGGCTACATTTGGATTTCCTTAGCACAGCTTCTTTGCCTATAGGCTTCACAACATTTGATGTCACCAAGCAATCATGGAGATTCTCCTATGGATGCTATCAAAACTTACAGAGCATCTAATTTGTCTTTATGCATTATGACCATAATGTGGATACTTCTACAACTTCTGCAGTATTCTAATAACAGCGAGTCAAAAGCACTGCTCATGCTCAAGAGAGCAAGATCACAGAGAGCAGGAACAAGGGACTTCGACAAGAGTCAATTGATTTCTGTCAAGTATTGAAATTTCTTAGCTCATTATCTCCTACTAATAAATACTTACACAACTCTTAAACCATATTCTAAAGACTTGTAGAAGAAAGCTTTCACTGTTTTATTCCCACTTATGTTTCCAGTTATTTTTTAACAACCCTCTTCCAATATTGAATTGTAATTTCACAAACAATACCCTATTGTGTCATTGTGGAATAGCGATTGTGTGTGGATGTGAACAGTATGTACGTATGTATGTATGTGTTATACATGAAAATGAATGGCATGTACATGTAAAGACAATGGATGTCCTTTAGCAAGGCTTTATCTGAAGTATTCACTTTATATTGTTCAGGTCTGCAGAGTTTTACAAGTGCCTAGTGGTGTATATCATTCTCATGCCATGCAAAAATAAATTTACTGCCCTAACACTTCCCTATATTATACTCCTCTCCACCACCCTCCCTCAAAACTTTCCCAGATTATCACATACAGAATATACTCTTTTCAGAGTTTTTTTCGCTTAAAGATCCACAACTTTTCTATGATTTTGTGGTTTTCTAACTCCTTTTCTAAAATCATTAAATTAAGTACTTCTGCATATTGATGTACCACACTCTTTATCCACTTATCTATTATTGACATATTAACTGCTTCCAAGGTTTAGCAATTATGGATAATGATTTTGTAAATATTAATCTGTAGTTTTCATTGTATGAATACTATCAATTCACTAGGTTAAAGCCAAGCAGCATGGTTGGTTGGCTATACAGTAGGGTGATATTTAGCTTCTGAACAAACTTCTTTTTTTTTAATTTTTATTTTTCTTTTTAGTTACAATTTGTTAACTCTGTGTCCCAGCTGTATCCCGCTCCCTCATTCCCTCCCCCTCCCCAACTCCCTCCCTGGTCTCCTCCCTGCCCCTTTCCAAGTCCACTGATAGGGGAGGACCTCCTCCCCTTTCATTTGACCCTGTTTTATCAGGCATCTTCAAGGCTGGCTGCAAAGTCCTCCTCTGTGGCCTAACAGGACTGCTCCTCCCCTGGGGGAGGAGGTCAAAGAGCCTGCCCTTGAGATCCTGTTAGAAATAGTCCTTGTTCCCCTTACTTTGGAAAACTACTTGGTTACTGAGCTACTAAGGGCCACATCCAAGCAGAAGTTCTATGTTATATCCATAGATGGTCCTTGGTTGAGTGTCAGTCTCAGAAAAGACCCTGTGCACGAATATATTTGGTACTTGTAGAGCTCCTATCCTTTCCATATTATACTAACTCCCCTTCTTTCATATGATTCCCTGCACTCTGCCAAGGTTTGGCTATGAGTCTTAGTGTCTTCTAAACTCCCTGAACTCCAGGGTCACAATATTTTATCTCCATGTAATCAGGGTTAAATGACATTACAGAGGGAGGAGAGAAATCTAATAGAGGTAATATTCTTTTTTGAAGATTTTTATCTTGAATTATGTGCATACTTGTGTGTCTCTGTGTTACGTATATTGGTACAGAGACCAGAAGAAGTCAAATCTCCAGAACTACAGTGACTGTGAGCCAACTGACATGTTTTCTGTGACATGAACTCAAGTCCTCTACAAGAGTAGGTAATTATAACTGCTGAGCTGGATCTCAAGCCTCAGAACTTCTGTTCTTTTTAAATTTTCCATTCTATTTAATTTTTTTCATATATATTGATAATATTCTTTCTTTTCCTCCAACTCCTCCCAGATCTGTTTATATCTCCCTTCCTCTCTCTTTTCCTCTCTCTCCCTTTCTTTCTCTCCCTGTCTCCCCAAAAACAAAAGCAAAACAAAAACAAAAACAGTAAAATAAAAAAAGAGAGAAAGATAAAATCCAGATGCGACAAAATTCCCAGAAAAAAAAATTATGGAGAGCAGTTTTTTTTTTTTTTTGTGTTGTCCAACAGTTCCTGGGCATAAGATTTGCCCTGGGATGTGGTTAATAAACCTTTGGCAGTCCACTGGAGAAAACAGATTTCTCTTTTCTCAGTAGGTATCAATTGAAACGATTTTCTTGGTTAGGGATAGGGCTTTGTGTTTACTTTTTCTGAGTGCTAGTATTTTGTCTGGTTTGAACCTGTACAAATGAAGGTTGTCTGTGAGTTTATATGTGTATTGTCCCTATTCTGTCTGGAAGATGTTGCTTTCTCGGAGTCATCTACTACCTCTTGCTCTTAAAATCTTTCCACATCCTCTTTCACACAAACCCCTGAGCCTTGAGGGGAGGGATTTTATAATGACAGCCCATATACGACTGAGTGTGCCAAAAGTCTTACACTCTCCTTCCATATCCAGTTGCAGGTTTCTGTCTTAATAGCTATCTACTGCAAGAATAAGTTTTTCTTTAGGGGTAAGTGATGCACTGACCTATGTGTATAGCAATATGCCACCCAGAGTTATTTTATTGGTATATTCCTTTCGCAGAATAGTACTAGGAGGTTTTCCCTAAGATCCAGAACCTATTTCATTTCAGGTTCTTGGTATTTTTAGGAGTGTCGAGTATGGGAGTATTGGTTCCATTTTATGCAGTGGGCCTTAAATCCCATTTAAAATGTAGTTGGATACATCTGTAACATTTTTGCGACTCTTACACCAGTATATTTAATAAGCAAGATTTGTGGCTTGGTGGTTTGCTCCTTAATGATTTTCTCCTCCAGTAGAATAAAACTTCTACTGTAGAGTGAAACTTCTATTTGTGTATGAGCTTGATTGCTCCATATGGCATATGGCCATAAAATAGTGTCTGCAGCAATAAATCCTTGCCATTAGGTTGCAGAGAGTAACCAATAGTCTTGGTAATAGTCTGTGCTCTTTCAAGGGGTTTATGGGATCCCTTTGCCCAATGACTCAACACTATGTAAATTGTTCCTACCATTGAAGCATTTCCTAGGTGACATAAAATGTCTACTTGGGGCATTATCTCATCCATTATATGATGATTTCATTTAAATTCCTTTAACATATGTACATGCTTCAGTATATTTTCATTGTTTTTTTTTTCTTTTAATATCTTTAGTGGTAGTTGTCTTTGCCCACATCTCACCTTTAGCCTGCTTTTCCATGCCCCTTTTCATTTAACCATCTTACTCTAGTTTTCTTCATCTCCTTATAATACTATATTCTATTTCCCCTTTCATTGGACCACCAACCCCAGTCCTTTACTAGGTACTAACATATGCAGTTATCCAGATGAAAGCATACATAGAAAACTTAAAAGCTACATATAAGAAAAAGCATGCAATATTTGTCTTTTGGGGTCTGGTTACCTCACTCAGACTTACGTTTGTTTCTATCTCTATCCATTTACCTACAAATTTCATGATTCATTTTCTTTTTTTTTCCTTTTGCTTGTTGCTATTTTGCCTCTTCTTTTTTTAACTTTTTTTATTTTTATTAATTACACTTTATTCATTTTGTATCCCCCATAAGCCTCTCCCTCCTCCCCTCCCGATCCCACCCTCCCTCCCCTTTCTGCATGCATGCCCCTCCCCAAGTCCACTGATAGGGGAGATTCTCCTCTCCTTTCTGATCTTAGTCTATCAGTTCTCGTCAAAAGTGGCTGCATTGTCCTCTTCTTGGCCTGCTCTTTGATTCATTTTCTTAATAGTGAAATAATGTTCCATCGTGCAAATGTGCCGTATTTTCATTATCTGTTTGTCACTTGAAGGATGTTTGCGCTGCTTCCAATTGCTGGCTGTAATAAACAGGGCAGCAAAGAGTATGGCAAAGCAAGTATTTCTCTAGTAGATGTAACATCATTTAAGTGTATACCTGAGGGAAATATAGCTGGATCTTCAAGTAGATCAATGCCCGACTTCCTGATAAGCCTTCGTGAGGATTTTCACAGTATCAGTTACACTTTGTACTCTCACCGGAAGTGAATGTTTCCATTCCCCTGCATTAGCATGTAATAGGACAAAAACGTTCATTTCTGGTGTCTTGTGTTCTGGGAACTCCTTAGTATATTCCCTCTCCTTTGCTGTTTATATACACATAGGGGAAAGGCTGAATAAAATTGGAAGAAGGGAGCGGAGCCATCCCTCAACCAAGAGTGAGAGCCATCATCACCAAATTTGTCAGTAATCGGAGAATTGAGTTTCCACCTCCAGATGTGTAAAAAATATAATATTTGTTGCTCAAGCCATCCAGATTATGGTACTTACTTTGGCAATCCAAGGAGACTAAAACATTTAGCAAGTGTCACAACCTGCTCATATCATAGATCCACTTTCAAGTCAGCTTGCTTGTTTACTGATGAGCTTTAATATCCTTATATTTTTTTGGATACAGATATCTTAGCAGATGTATTTTACAAATATTGTCACATAGTCTATATTATATATCAGTTCCTTCTGGGTCTGGATGCTTTTGGTCGCACCTAATTGCCTCACTACCTATCAACTTTTCCAGCTAAAGAGCTCCTTGAAGATAGAAATGGAGGCCTTAAATATATAGAATCTACAACACATAAAACATGTTCCAGTTCTGGTGAAGGTTTGTGTGGTTTAAAATAATGGCTGGTTTTTTAAAATACATGGATCAAGAGTGTCATTAAGAAGATAGCTAAAGTACTTTGAAGAGACAGTGTCCTGCAGAGGGGTTAATGTCAGTAGTTAATGTCAGTGTCAGAGTCCTGATGGATACCAGTGTTACACAAATGGGATAGCATCATAGAGACAGGAGGGTCTGCATCATGCATACAGCTCAGAGAACAGCCTTTCTCCACAAGTCACAGAACAGGAGCCTGTGGAGACATTGTGAACAGCTCTCTGACTAACTTCTTCAAAGGACGGCAAAACTAAGATCTAGACAGAGTGAGAGACCAAGTTTATGACAAGTTGTTTCTTCCTTTGATATCACTCTGTACTCTGACAGGGTTGTTGTTATATTTGATTGTTTGCTGCCTTCTGCTACTCAGATGGAAGTGCAGCTCATCTGAGTCACAGCACCAAATATTGTTTAGTTTGCTTGTTTGTTTGTTTGCTGGTTTACTGCCTTCCTGATTGAGTGGGAAGGTGTCCTGAAAACTCAGCTCTGAGGGCTGAGATGTTATCTCAGTTCTGAAAAGGGTATCCTGAGGCATGAGAACTCAGGAACCTCACAGCTCTGGGGAAGGACAGTGTCCCAACAGTATTCTGAGGTACAGAAGCCCAGGAGGCACACAGCTCTGGGGTAGAACAGTATCCCAAGTATATCTTGAGGCATAGGAAATAAGGAGGTACACAGCTCTGAGAGGAGGCCTCCTCAACAGAAATGCTGTAGTTCCCAGAGGAGGGTTGCCCCAATCCCTGATGAGCTGAGGAGCTTGAGCGCCTCAGCCCCACTCCTTCAGCTGTTGCAGCTCCCAAGAAAAGAGTCGCCTCAACCCATAATGAGCTGAGGAGACTAGGATCCTGATCCCCAGCCATTGCAGATCCCAAGGGAAGAGTTGCTCCAACTCCTGATGAGCTGAGGATCTTTGGAGTCTGGGCTCCACTCCTTCTTTGTTTCTTCTTTTCTTCTTCTAATGACTGAGACACTGCAGGCAGTAAATCTCTTAAAGATTTATTGAAGGGTCAAATCCAGGAGAAGAGGGACAATTCTAAGAGTGGCTGCCTCTGCTCCCATGAGAAGGAAGCAGGGAACTGGGCAGGTACAACCTTTATATAGGATTCACTAATGGATGGAGCTTTCTAGGGCAGGGTTTTCCAGAGTGTGGATTTGGTGGGATTTCAAGTCCTAAACTTGGGGAAACTCAGAAATTGATGGGCTTTTTTCCTGTTCAGGGATTATTTGGTTTTCTTGTTCAGGAATTGGTGGGGGTTTTTTGTCCAAGACTTTTAACCTCAAATTTGCATTATCTGGGATAAATCTTACGGAGGGGCTGAAGATGACAGTTACAGAAGTCTGGGGGGTGAGGATCTGGGCTGCTGGAGCTTCCTCGGGCAAAGGTCTGGCCACTTTTCTGTCTTGAGGGGTTATAAAGTCTACAAGGTCCAAAATTTACAGAATCCACTATGAAGGCAGTAGACTTAAGCAGGAAAGATTGTGGTTATCATGGGCTGCTCTAATGGCAACAGCGGGCATTCTGAAGCAGGAAAGATGTCCCTTACCATAGCAGTTGGCTGAGGCAATAATAATCAAAGTGGACAGCTTCCACTGAGGTACTGACGGGAACCGCCATTTTGTCTCTCACCTCCACAGCTCCTGGGTAGGAAGGAGGAGCTGACTGCCCTTAGGCAGGAAGTAGGACTGACAGTAAGCATTTGGAATGTTAGTGGCCTGCTGCTCATAGCTCTTGATTTGTGTGTGAGGTGGGTGGTCGGGGGGGGGGGGGGCCGGGGGCTCATGGGTTTTGTTTTGGGGGGGGGGGGGGGGGGGGGGGGGGGGGGGCAGTGGGCCACTCAGATTTCCACTGCTGCAAGGAGGGAGGGGCAGCATCAATTCACCACAGCTTGGGGGGTCCTCAAGATGGCTGGGTGGGGAGTTGAGGTGGCCTTCCCTACTCCTTAAGATTGCTACAGTCTGGGGCTTCTGCTGCAGTGATCTGTTGGGACTGCTTGGGGCAGCAGGCCACCTCAACTTGGCGGGCTGCCCCGCATCTTGGGGCCCTGGCTTCTGGGGTATTAATCCTGATGAGACTTGATAATCTAGGGTCAGATGGCAAGAGAGAAGGACACCCCCTTTCAACGGACAAGGGGAAGGGGATACCGGAGAAAAGGGAGGAAGGGTATACCGGAGAAAAGGGAGGAAGGGTGGGACCGGGAGGAGATAAGGGAGGAGGCTACAATCGGGATATAAAATGAATAAATTGTAAGAAGAAAAAAATTAATGGAAAAACGACTGGGAAAAAATGTTGGGCTGACACTGTGGGCCACCAGAGCTCTCTCTACGATGGTGAACGGCTGGCTTTGATCCTTTGATCCCGCTGTTCCCAGGGCCATCTCTGATGCTCTGGCAGCTTGGCCACCACAACCTCTGTGGCAGAAAGCAGTAGGTTGCAGTGTCGCCAGCCCAACTGGTACCTTTTCATAAAGTAAACCTCTCCACTGAAATAATTCATGGATATTTTTTCTCACTTCGATCTCTCTCTTGATTTATCATATGTATTTCATCTCAGCTAAACTCCAGCTCATAAAATGACTTTCAACATCATAATGAAATCTGTCTTCCTCTGCATTCTTTCAACTCTGCTTGGTGAGTATCTACACAGCCATCTCTATTTGCCAAAAAGGAGTCCTTGGAAAGGCATGGGAGATAGAAAAATGCTGGCAGCATCATTTCAGCCTTAGTATCTATCTCTAAGCCCTGCCAAGTACCTTCCCAATTTAGTTGCTCCCTGTGGCAACACCTGCCTTCTGCATTTCAAGTTGATTGCTTATGTACTTTGAGGGAGCCTTGGACATTGGCACCCCTCTGAGAGATACATTTCACATTAGAAGCTGTCTCTGGACCTTCTGGAGCATGAGATGTTGTGGCACAGAAACAGGAAGTGAAAGCCCAGGTTAAAAGAGGAATCCAATGAAGGAGTGTACCAGCAGACTTAAAGTTGAATATGTCCTGATATGGTTCAGCTCCACACCACATGTCCACTGTGTTAGGGAAATGATTGTTCTATCTTCTAAACATACCCTAAATCAATCACATCTCAACATACCCACTAGTCATGAGGCTCCAAACCAACATCTCTTCACTGGAGTATCCATTTACTCTTCTAATTGGCCCCTCCATTTTGGTATGCTCTGCTTCAAAGGATTCTAACACGGTGCTGTCATGGCCACTCATTTTAAATCTTAAAGTGGCCACACCTTCATTTAGAATACAAGTCTGCACAATTCCAACATTGCACAGACCCCCCCCCTATCCTTTCTATATCATTCTCCACCACCATCATCCTTAACTCATGCCATGAGCCACACTAGCCTCTGTGATTTTCCTTAAACAAGACCTAGATATTTTAATCTGGCTGTAGATAGATTTTTTTTCTCTTTCTGGAGTCTCTGGCCTCACATACCTGATGATCTGATTCCTTTGCCTCCATGGCATTGTTTTCTGCCTGTTAGGTCAACCCTAGCCATTGGTTGTTGCATGATGCTTGACTTCATGGGCTGACACCCTCCCCCCCAAACACACACAACTGGTACTGATTTTCCATCTTTCACTGGGCCTAACTTTATCCCTGTAGCTTTAACCACCATCTAGCATGATAGTTTATTTACTTAGGTTTTATGTTTATTTTTTTTTAATGTTTACCAATTTAGATGTTTGAGAGCACAGCATTTATACTCTGTACTCTGGCACTGACATTAACTCTTTTGCAGAGCACTTAATGTCTCTTTGAAATATTTTAGCTATGATGTTCATGACAGTTTTAATCCATGTATTTTAAAGAACCAGCCATTGTTTTAAACCACACAAACCTTCCTCAGAACTGGAATATGTTTTATTTTCTGGAGAATCCACACATTTAAAGCGTACATTTCTATCTTCAAGGTGCTCCCAAGGTAGAAGAAGTTATAGGTAGTGAACCAAATGGGTACTACCAAAAGCATCCAGATCCATGAGGAACTGATACATGATACAGGCTAGGTGACAATATTTGTAAAACATATCTACTAAGATATCTGTGTCCAAAAACGCAACGATATATTAAAACTCAACACTAAACAAGCAAGCTGACTTGAAAGTGGATCTATGATAGGAGCAGGCAGTGACCTTGCTGAATGTTTCAGTCTCCTTGGATTGCCAAAATAAGTACCATAGTCTGGGCGGCTTGAGCAACAAACACTACTTTTCTCATAGATCTGAAAGTTGGAAACTCAATTCTTAATATCTATTTTATTCACAAGCTAACTAAAGCTCCTAAACACAGCCTGGCATACACTAGTGCTTAACATTAATTGACAGAATTACTCCCTTGTTGTTCTCAGACTCTGCAAGCATTTGTTCTGCCCCCCCCATGGGTACTGCCTTTAATTGTCCATGGTACAGTTGTTGGAAAGAGAGGGATGACTTGTGAAAGTGCTTGTGATAGATACTCTTCGCATTGCTGTGGCCAAAGAACTAACAAAAAGCAACACAAAGGAGAAAAGATCCATTTGGCTCATGAGTTGGGGTACAGTTCATTATGTTGTGGAAGGCATGATGATAAGAGCAACTTCTGAAATGGTAGCAGAAGCATGATGCTGCTTGCTCACATCCAGACAGATCAGAGACTGGGCAGGAAGTGGACTAAGCTATCAATCTCAGCACTTCCTCCCAAGGGATCTACTTCCTCAAAGATCACCACCAGCTGGCACTCAAGTGTTCAAACATGTGAGCCTACAGAGGGCATTTTAAATCCAAATGTTAACAACATTCTAAAATTGGTGAAATGGTTTAGTATTTAGTAAGTCTAACAGTTTCCACTTAATTATATAAAAGAGAGAGATTGTATTTCTTGTAAGCATCATTTCTTTATTATTATGTATGTAAGATTGGTGGGGTGGGGCACATTGATATGGTACATTTGTAATGTGGGCTGCTTTATGAGGTGGATGATCTCATTCTATCTTTGATTCTGAGGAGATCAAACTCAGGTTACCAGGTTTGCTCAGCAAGTGTTCTATTCATTAAACTTTCTTACAAGGCCTTAGAAAACTCATATTTCAAATGAAAGAATATTTCTTTACAATTAAAAGGATAAACACTTTTTAATGTAGGTTTTTCTATTACCTGTAATTTTCTTCAGAACAAAATAAGTCACTTTAAAGACTTGATTAACCACTTGGAAGTGCTTAAGAGGAGGGTTCAATAACTTGAAGCTAGTGAATTAATTTCCATTTTTTTTTTTACTTTGTTGTAGTTTTGAACTTTTTGTTTTTGTTTCAAGGGTTTTCTTAGTTATTAATTTTTTTAATTGCATTGTTTTCTTTTCAGGTACCTTTGCCTATAATGCAGATCACGTAGCTGGTGCCACACCCCCCTACTTGGTCTACCTGATGTCTGATTATTTGCCCTGCACTGGAGTCCTGATACATCCTCTTTGGGTGATCACAGCTGCACACTGCAATTTACCGTGAGTGATAAGGACCTCAGACCATTTTGTTCTTTGAATTCTGAGCTTAGCTATAGACCCATTAACCTGTATATCACTCTCAAGAAATGAGGCAAGGAAGATCTTCTAGGAATGTTATTTAGGGAAGGCTAATTAAGGTCCATATGATTGCAGAAACTTTGATAAGCGGTTTATAAACATCCTTATCATTCTAGGAAACTTCGGGTGATTCTTGGGGTCACAAGCCCAACAGATCCCACTGAAAAGAATGTGGAAGTGTCTGGCTATGAGAAAATAATCCGTCATCCATCCTACTCAGCCTCTTCTATTTTGTATGACGTGATGTTAATCAAACTGTCAAGAATAATTAGACCTAGCAGATACGTGAAAACGGTCAAGCTGCCACAACATATCGTGCCTGTGGATACAGAATGCTCTGTCTCGACTTGGGCCTACAATCTATGTGACAGCAGTGAGTTCAAGGCATTAAGTGATGACATCTGATTTTCTGGTATTTTCTTGGGATTCCCCTCTAAGCTTCTGCAGTTCTGCTTTTATAGGACTTCCTTCAAGCTTCTGCTTTCACCATTTCCTTTTCCTTCAATGCATTGGGAGACTTTCAAGTCTTTTTTCTGTTGTATCTTTCTATCTTCTTTGTTTATGAATATGAAAGAAATAGCTTCAAAGAAAATATATATATATGTCTAGGCCTAACTTGATGTGTAACAGCACTTCATCTCTCTCAGAATTTCAATTTCTTCACTCTAAGATGAAATGCAACACCGTCGAAGGCTTTCAAACCATTTCAAGCAATGAATGGCTCAAGTCCTTGAAATATAAAATGTATAATAAATCAAATATAAGATAAACCATAACATTGTGGGAAATCAGATAGTATATCATTATGTAGAATTGAATTAAAAGATACATCTGAAGAGTTATTATAATAAATAATAATATATTGTATAATTAAAATCACAAAAATGCTTAGAAGAATAAATTTCTATATGCTCATGACCACCCGAAAATGATAACCTGGGTATGAGAAGGAAAGCGACTCCCCCTCCACACACACAGAAAGAAAACATGAACCTTAATTTGATTTATTTCACAAAGCAAACAATTCTAAAATAACTCTCGAAATGAGCGTGGAGCTGTGAAATTATTGTTATAGTAGAAAGTGAAGCAAAGGAGCTCAATGTTTACTTTCAAAAATTAGTGTCATGTTTTCAAGTAAAGACATTCAAATAAATTAAGAAAAAGTTAAATCTCAAAACATAAAGACTCCCTAAGAAGACCGCCTATAGATCGATGCTGCTTTGATCTCTGTATCCAGGACAAGTTAGACAACTTTTCTTACGGGTATGCATTGCAGGCAATGCTCGTGAGACTTTGATGGAAAAGAAGCAGGTTGAATTAATTAGGAACCAGAAGACACCATGTTAAGCTGATTATATTGTACTACTTAGTCTGGTTGGGGTTTTTCCTTTTATTAGTGTCTTGGGTGACTATTTATTATCATAATAATAATTATTATTATTAATTGTTGCTGTTACTTACCAGATAATTATGTAGCTTAACCATCTGACAAATAAGAAATTAGACCACATATTTCTAAATTCCCTCAGGCTCCAAAATTTGTATAACAAAAGACACTCTAAATGTTTCCATTTCCAGAAAAAAAGAAAAAAACTGAAGCAATTTGCTTCATTTTGTTGCAAGACTATCTCAAATATACAAACCACCCTCTTAAACGGATAGACAGTTGCTTTATGACAAGTTGTTAATTTAATAATCTCCTGTATACTTATTGTTTAAACTTCTTGGTTCTCATTTCTCAAAATTTGAACTCCTTTTCTGATAATAGAACAAACGTGGGAAAGAAGGAAGCAAAACTGCACTTTGGTGCTTAAGAGAACTCATGAGAATTATGATATCCCTCTTTTCTCTAGCCAAGGACCCTGACTTACTGCAGACTGTGAATATCTCTGTAATCTCCAAGGATGAGTGTCATAATGCCTATAAATCCTATGACATCAAAGAAAACATGATCTGTGTGGGCATTGTGCCAGGACGAAGGCTGCCCTGCAAGGTAACATAATCTTTTTAAACTTTATTTACTTATTCACTTTATATCCTAACCATAGCCCTTTCCCTCCCTCCCCTATTCCTCAGATAAAGGGAGACTCCCACCAACCCATCCATCCCAATTTATTAGTTTACTCTCCATGCCTTGCTTCAGTATGTAATTTTTTTTTTTATCTTCTGCCAGAAAGATGACCTGGTTTTCTTCTTTCTGGCAGGAAGTTTCAGCTGCTCCAGCAGTCTGCGATGATGTACTTTATGGAATCCTGACTTACGCAGATGGCTGTGTTTTGAGAGCTGATGTTGGCATCTACGCTAGCATCTTTCACTACATGCCCTGGATTGAAGCTACCATAAAAAATAATTGAGCTCCAACAACACCAAGCATTCTGAAACATGACACATCTTGTGCTCCTACCCAATCTCACAATCAAAATAAATGGGCTCATTGGATTGTGACAGGCACACCAGCCAACTTCCTCTGTGCATGCAGCGATTTAGTAGTCACTTCACATACACCCTCTCTCTCCCATCACTGAAAACGAGAAACTCAAGACTTGTCATTTCTCAATGCAGCTGATAATAGGATTGTTGAAAAGGGGCCACAGTCATCTAGGGGTATCAAATTCCCTACCACTAGTACTGAGTTAGGCATGTTTTCAGAAAGTTAAACACATCATTTTGGAAAAGGTTTTCTGACAATGAATGAGCTAATTAGAGGAATCAATTAGAAGAAGAGCTTAAAAATGAGGACTGGAATAGACACTGCACTGTCTCAGATACACACAATTCTAATAGCAAACATGGATAAAGCTTGCTCACTCATTTGGGGTGTCTATTTGCAAAGTTCACTGGAACTTATAACAGCAGATAAATAGGAGTTGCAGAAGTAATTTTCCCAGCCTACATCTGTCTTTTCATGTAGTTAATGTTTTGAGGTAAATATTCAGAGTAATGGGTTTCATCAAAGCATCCTTACCCACCCATGCCATTCTATTTTGCTCCCATGCATTGACTCCACAGTAGCTACCTCAGAAACTCTACTTTGTTCTGTTTTTCACTCAAGCAAGCATTCTTCTTCTGTCTTCTCTTTCCTTATCATTTCCACAGATCTGGTCAGATACACAAAGATTTAACTGACAGGTTTCCATGGTAGTTTTCTTTGGCCAGTTGTCTAGAGAATTAAAAAGCAGCAGCAAAGACAATCTGTAGCAATTACAAGTAGACCACTGGAGCTTTTCAGTACAGAAAGTTCTGAGCCAAATCTTGTCCTCTTAGAGGTTCTAAAACCTCCAAACCATCTAAGCTTCACCTAAGAGTTCCGGAACCAAAACTGTGTGAATCACTAAGTGTGAAAATGAGTGTGTCATTCTTCACTTTTTTTATGAAGTGAAATTTTAGTTACAGGAGAAACTAGTAGTATTAAGCAAGTTTTAAATTGTATTAAAATGTTTTCCAGCTTAAGCAACTGTGAAGTCTTCACCACTGGTACACTGCAGCTGAGGTTTCTGAATTCCACAAGTTTGGGTGCTGTCTGTTTTACCATAAGCTCTAAGAAGTAACTTCTTTTATTGGAAATAAATTTAGTGAGAGGGAAGGTAGAATGCTTAAGTCACAAAGGCAATCCAAAGATGGTAGTGATTACAAAGTGAAGACACAAATCCTCAACATACTTCTCTGGTCCTATGTTTTGTGATGGATTAAGATGAGACCAGTGACACTTCCAGATAGTGAGAATGAATAACACAGCTAAGACTCAAGTTGCATAGAATGGTATTAACACATTGAAGGCACTCAGAGCACAGTCAAGAGCTCATTGAGAATCCATGTTACCATCTCCTTAAACCTATTATTTTAGTCCATTTGGGATGCTTTAAAAAATGGTATATACTCACTTATAAGTGGACCTTAGACATATAATATAGAATAAACATACTAAAATCTGTACATATAAGGAAGCTAAACAAGAAGGAGGACCCTGGGTAAGATGCTCAATATTCATTCAGAAAGGCAAACTGGACAGACATCAGAAGAGGGAGAAAACAGGGAACAGGACAGGAGCCTATCACAGAGGGCCTCTGAAAGACTTTACCCAGCAGGATATCAAAACATATACTGAGACTCATAGCCAAACTTTGGACAGAGTGCAGGGAATCTTATGAAAGAAGAGGGAGATAGAAAGACCTAGAGGGGAGCTCCACAAGGAGAGCAACAGAACCAAAAAGTCTGGTTCAGGGGTCTTTTCTGAGACTGATACTCCAAAGACCATGCATGGAGATAATCCAGAACCCCTGCTCAGATGTAGCCCATGGCAGCTCAGTGTCTAAGAGGGTTTCCCAGTAATAGGAACAGGGTCTGTCTCTGACATGAACTCATGGGCTGGCTTTTTTATCATCTCCACCTGAGGGGGAAACAGCCTTACCAGTCCACAGAGGAAGACAATGAAGCCAGTCCTGATGAGACCTGATAAGAGGAGAAGGTCCTTCCCTATCATTGGATTGGGAGAGGGGTCTAGAAGAAGAAGAGGGCGGGATTGGGAGGGGTTAAGAGGGGACTACAGCTGTGATACAAAGTGAATAAACTGTAACTAATAAAAATTAAAAAATAAAACTAGAAACTTGTAAACTACAAGTGGAAAACAAGCCTTTAGAGTCCAATGACAGCAGTTTTGATACATCCTCAAATGGAAGAATGCATAATGGCAAAAAATAAGAAACCATTTAGTTCTTGAAGCCTCTATATAAGATGCTACTCACATCCATGAAAATGTAGCCTTCACCTCAAACACCACTGTTCATGAGGTGAGTTTCAACATGAATCTTAAAGGACACAAATGTACATAGGTACATTTGAATGTTCCCTATATACCTCTTGATCAGAGGAGAGATTGTTTTAAACTCCACAGAATCACAGAGTACCAATGGATATTCTGACGTAATTTGGCTGTACATGTTCTGCTTTTAACCCAGAATGATAGCAGCGTCCTTAAATGTAAAATAGGAGACGGACTGTTGTTTCAACCTCCAAGGGCTGAGCAAAAATTACAAAGCAAATTTTTTGTCTTTGGAGCTACCTTCAACCCTCTTGGTTACCACCTTCATGTAAATAAAGCTGAAAGTTCTCCAGTCCCCAATGGATATTCATGGTCTCCTATTTAACTAATGACTGACATGATTCTAAATTCTATTTCGCCAACATCCTTACATCTCTGTCTAATCTTCTGGGCTCAGTTTTCATTCTCCCAAAGATGATGCTGACTTCTCATAATAGCAGTGAGGTTGTTCTCAAGTGCCAGTTACCTTGGTGTATTTGGAATTATTTCTTCAGAAATATTTCTGACTTATTAGATCGTGGAGCCCGAAAGAATAATAATGGGTATATATGTATACACACACACACACACACACATACACACACACACACGTACATATAAGAATGGCTCTTGTTTAAAAAAAAATTAGATAACAAATGCTAGTGGGGATGTGGAAAAAAAGAGCCCCATTAAAATACTGATGCATATGTAAATTTATATAGCCACTACAGAAAACAATACTGAAGCTTTTCAAATTTTTTTCAAGTGGAAGTTCATATGAGCCAACAATACCATGTTTATTGCAATAACCAAGAAATGAAAACTGAGTTTCCATAAAATGAATGTATGAAACTATGTAGCACATATGCCCAGCATAATACCATTCAGCCACACAAAGAATGAAATGGTGGTTAGGTTACCAGGGGCTGGGAAAGTGAGGAAGAAGGAGAGAAGTGAAGACATGGATCAGTGTGGGCTGAGCTCTAGTCAGATAGGAGGAAGCTCTGTTATGCCATTGCACAGTAAGGGAGTATCAGCAAGTATACACGCTGTATCTCTAAACATCTCAAGAAAGAACTTTTGATGTTTTTACCATAAAAATTCAGGACATAGATATATTTAACTTTTGAACATCTCAAAATGTGAGTGTTGAGTCATCACATGGTATCTCATTCATATTTATAAGTTTAATGTTTTAAAAGAATACTTTTCGAGGTACAGAAGCAGAAATTTACAATCTCAGCCCTTGGGAGGCTGAAACAGGATGATTAGGAGTTTAAGGACAGCCTCAGCTATATGAGGCCAGCCTGGGTTACATGAGCAAATAAAAGTGCATTTTTCAGACTTTCTGCTGGCAGTGTACACCAGTCTGGGAGCAGAATCTGCACATGTCCAGTTGTATGATTTGGATAACCTTAGAGTCTACAATGGGAAGTTGTGAAATTTCACACCAACCTCAGGAAAGGATCCATACCAACGTTTGCAGTGAGGTGAACTAACCAGATGGTTTTCATTCACAAGCAACCCGGCCTCTTGTCTGAGATTCAGGTTCTGCACCTCCATATTTGCCATTCACGGCTCATTTTTAAATCACCCTTGTCACCTACCATTCCTCTGTGAGATTCAAGCACCTAACTAGCTCCTTCCATCTGAACCCCACACTCCCTCCACTAACAAAATGTTTTTAGGACTCTGTGATTTTATTCCTACCTGGCCTACCTGCTGTCAATCTTCCTCCTGATTTTGAAATGGGACACGATGAATGTGCTGCTGTGTGAGAGAATTAACACATATGTGAGAGAAACATGGAGGGTCCCAGAAAAGCATTGAAAGCTACTGTGAAAGTGGGGGAACTGAAGGAGAGTCCTCCAAGTATCCCTGGCACCATTTCTGGAGGAACAGTTTTCTAGAAACAATGTCTGAGAGTCTTATAAAAAGTGGCCTTTTCAACAGCACAGTTTTAGAAAAGTTCACCAACAGAAACTCATGGGCCAGGGCTCTGGTGCCCTCTGGGTTAGCGTGCAACTCCAGCATAAGGCAATTCAGTGCCACAGGCAGATGAACTGAAGGAGTAGATGAGATAGATGAGGGTCTACCAAATAAACTTGACTGCCATGAAGAATTATGGGTAAATAGTGCCCCCTAGTGGAAAGACCCTTCATTCCCCACAGTGCTGAGGTAACCTTACCTCAACCAAAGAGGTAGTCTTGATTTGTCTTAATTGCTGCTCACTCTCATAACTTTCAGTTGCCCACACCTACCTCAGATCTGGTTCAGGATGTATATGCTTCATACTAGTTCACTCTACTGTCTTCCTCTCCTTCCTCCCCCTCCTTCCCTTGTCTTTTTCTTGTTTCCTTTTCTGATCTTCTTTCTTCCCTCTTCCTCCATTGCTCCCCCTGCCGACCCCAGCCTTGCTCTGTGATTATGAAATTCCTGTTTGCTTGGCTATTGAGCCTCCTTGTTCTGCTCTTTACCTGGGGGTGTGTAGAGGAATGAATGTTAATTCAGAACATGGTTGTTCTGGCAAGAGATCACATCCGAAGACCTTCTAGGTTTGTGTGATCGAGCTGGAATACAAACATGCCTTTAATCCAGGAGACAGAGGCAAGCAGATCTGAGTTTAAGGCCAGCCTGATAAATAGCAAGATTCAGGTAAAGAAAAGCTTAGACTCAGGTAGCACACACCTTTAATTCCAAGCAATAAAGGTAAAGTTATTTTGTAAAAGGAAGGACCCATGCTTGAAAATGACGAGACTGGCAGAGAAGGTGACAAATCACTGAAAGACTTGACAGAATAAGATTTGCCAAACTCTCAGGAGAAGAGAAAGAAAAGGGAAGCTACTTAATGGGCAGTGCAGAGAGAGGAGGCAGTTTTACCAGGACAGATAAACAGAGACAGGTTAAAGAGAGAACAAGTTAAACATAGGTAGAGACAGAATGAGCCAGAAAATTAGAAGGGGCTGAGAGATTAGAGTAGACTGAATAAGTCAGCTGTGAGAGGAGTTTGAGCCAGAATAGCCGAGTTGAACCAGCCAGCCCAGAGCTCTGGAAGAACAAGTAAGGGTGAGCTTACTAAGCAGTAAGTCGAGAGGCTTCAAACCTTCTATGCCTAGGTTAGATTGTACAGAGACTAGAAGCTTCTAGGACTGGCAGAGGGAGGCAGTAAGCTTCCAAGACAACAACTGAACCGGGAGAATGAAAGTTACTTTTACAGGAGTGGTCTTGTTGGGTTGCGAATCTAGTTCTGCCTTAAGGCATTTTTAGGACATTTACTGAGCCCTAAATGACAATTCTAGACCCTTATATTTTTTCCCGAGGGGTATATTTTCTGAAAGATGAGTTCAAATAGCTCACCTCTGGTTTAGGCACAGTGCTCATCAGTTTTTTTGTTGTAGTTTTTGTTTTTTAATTTTTTTTAACTGCTTTGACTAAACTGGTAATTGGCAAGAAAAAAATCTAGATTAAGTAGCTTTGAGCTTTGCTATGTTAAATGGCATATTGAAACAATATTTTATGTATAATAGCATAATTAATGCAAAATAAATTGAACTATTAAAGGGATACAAAGAACATTTTAAGATTGAGTTGTGAGGTCAAAGTGGGTATTGGTAACAAAAACTTGGGCATCACAGAAACAAGGGTATTTACGTAAAGGGTGAAACAATGGTATTTATTTAAAGGGTGTAGTCTGAGCTGCACATTCTGAAATTCAGCCCATGTTAATCTGAGCTCTGGGAAGGTCTTAATCCCAGCCCCACACTGGGAGTTGATACCGGCATCTCATGCAACCTGCTTTTCACCAAGCGTTTTGTGGAAGGAAGAGCTCACAGCAGCTGCCTGGGTTTTATTTTTTGCTGCTCAGCATCATGTCCTACTAAAAAGTCCACCTGAACTGTGTTGCTTGATCCTCATAACTGCCTTGCCACATTTGTTGCCTACACTCTACAAAATCAGAAACTGAAGTGCAGGAGGGTAAGAGACATCTTCCAACCTCACAAGTGGGAGGCCCAAAGTCTGTGCTCTGAGCTCTCTACACACAAGGTTAAGTTGCCATGTGGCACAACAAGTGGTAAATCATCAGGGAGGGTGCACTTTTTGCTAGGGCAAGGGGTTGAGAAGTCTGGGTAGAAAGGGCTTGCGGAGGATCAAGGACTGGGAGGCAGCACAGTGCTTGTGTGGTTTTTGATGCAATGCCCCCACAGAGCTTACCACTGTGTCTCTGCTGCAGGTGCAGTACAAGGTTCTGCCCTGGGTCATGTTGGCCACTTCTAGCCTCAGCTCTGTATCAGTGACCCGTGTGGCCAAGTAATCAGCGCCAGGCAGAGATTTGACCTCTTTGTCCCCAGGAGCCCGTAGAGTGACCAGCCACTGCAGTTGTTGTTGGGGATCCTGCTGATACCAGCTCATCCAGGGATACTGAGAATTCTTCAAGATGCAGCGCAGGGTCTTAGCTTGACCACGTGGTACCAGACCCCATCTTGGCTTTTGCTCCAACAAAGAGACTGTGGTGTCTGAAACACAGACAGGCTAAGATGAAGGTGGACAACCCCATGTGTAGCCAACTGACCTAAATCCAGAAGAGAAAAATCATGAGTTATGCAGGCAGAAGGATGCTGAGAGCAGATTCCTTGGCCAAGGAAAGTAGCTATGCCAGATGACTGTCTTAAAGGACCTAGGGCAGCTTCTCTGCTTGCTAAGCTAAAGTGATCTGACTTTTCACGTCCCTCCACCAACTGGCTTCCTCCGTTGTCACCTGACCTGTAGTCACAGAAGCCATGAGTACACAGAGGCACAGAATGGAGAACTGCCACATCCCTGACCCCTCAAGTTCTCTCCAGCAGGACATCAGGCATGAGAGGAGGACCCAAGCCAGTTAGGTGCCAACCAGAAACTTAAGTCTTGAGCCTGAAGTTCCAAAGAGTGTGACTTCCTCCGGAAACCCACTAGCTCATTTCATCTTTCCTCTACAGTGCAAACCTCAAACTGAAAATTTGCACCCTTCTTGCTGTTTAAGCGTGACTATGCTCTCTCATTCACACCCCTGCACACTACACACTCACCAAGTAGATCAGTATGCAAAGACTGGGCCCTGCACCCTCTCAGTAGTGATCAGGTATTTCCAGAAGTAGTTTGATTTTGAGTCTCAGCTCTTTCAAGGGAGTGAAATATCTCCATATAACCAAGCAATGGTTAAAGAACTGAACAAAGACAGCTCTCACCCACAGGCTTCACATGTGGAGGCTGTTGCAGGCTTATATCAGGCAGCTTGCTGTGGACACTCATCTATCTGACTCCAGGAATGCAAATACAAAATCAAAATGAGAGCTTTTTCCAGAATAAAGGAAAACATGACCCTTTTTGTAAGTGACCTGGCAGATATAAAGATATTCTAAAGAGACACTTGTGTCTTTCAAACTGACTACCAGGCTTTTGATACAATGACCCCAAAGAAAGGGGAATTTCCCCAGGAATCACATGCTGGGAGAAGAAAAACACACAAGCCAGACTGTGAAAGTGTCTCTTGGAAAGAGATTTCACACAATTTTAACAAGCCTAAGCAGTGATAGGTCACTGGGGGGCAGGATGATACTTTGATCTAGACTGTTTATCCTTGGCCCTTTAAACTTCCATCTCACTTCACGACCCCCAAGATTGACTTAGGAGTTCACTGCCTTCCTTTTGCCCTGTTCCCAATGTGTCCATACTGAATAAATCTTTTTTTCGGCTTTTCATTATTGTTTTGGTTTTGTTTAATTGGCTTATTGAGGACAGGTGAACAGAGTTGGCTTGGGGTACTGGCTTATGTTGGGTCTCAAACTGGAGACAAATGCCTAACTCTAACTGATGTGCCTATTTATTGAGTCAAGAATCCCTTAGGCATTACCTATTACATGCTGTGACTGGCATTCTCCTGCCCCCTACCCTAAACTTCTCCAGCCCTGTGTCTGAGCCTTCCCCACTTGCCTTTCCCTATACAATCCAGCCAGTTTTCTATGCTGGCCTTTTCTTCTTTTGTTTACCCTCTCTCCCCCCACTCTTCCCTTTCTGTTCCTGCTACTATCCCCCCATATCCAGACACTGTGTCATGTTCACTCTGGACTGTCCCAGAAGTTTCTGCCTTTGACTATAATTCCCCTCATATTTACAATAAAAATCGTCCCCATACTTTGTGAGCAATCATGTCCTCATCCTTTTTATTTCCTTTTTCATTCAGCTTTGACCTTCCAAGTTTGATAATGCTTTCACCCTTCATTTTTCTAGAGCATTGCTTTTGAAAAAAACAAGTTCTTCCAGCCTCTATAAATCTCTTTTTAAAAGCTGAATAAGTTCTCTATGAACCTTAAGAGCCAGGAAGAAAAGGGTAGAAAAGAGATTCCTTGGATTTAAAGTCATTGGCTCCTAGCTCTTCCCAGTGAGCCCTGTTCCTTTCCTAAGGGTAGAGCTCTGGCCAGCCAAGCTGACTGCTGAATAAGAGACCCTGGACCCTTCTAAATTTACTCAGCTGTCTGTCCTAGCTCCCTTCTTCAACTTAATCCTCTAATGAGATTGGGATCAGAGTGTCTCCTGCACTCCTGTTATCTCTTGCTAACCTTCCTGCCTTCCAAGGTCAGTGCCTCAAGAGATTGGCCTCTCTTATCTTAACCAGCTTGCAGGACTGAGCCAGGTTAAGCCTCTTTCTTCTAGATAAGATGGCTAGCTAGCTCCTCAGGGGCAGGACCAGCATTGGAGGTCATGGCTGCCTCCTTGGGATATCTCTCCATGCCCCCCTCCCCTCAAGGACATCTTAATCACTACTCAAGTGCACACAACAGTAGCCAACAACTTTTGCAGTAGCTCAATAGGCAATTCAAAGACTTTTCATGAGTTTTACTAAGTGGTTATTATATCTTTACTAAGATATATGCAGCTCAGAGAGCATCCTCTCATCTTTCCTTTGCCTAGACTCCTGTGTGTAGATGTGTGGTCCAACACATCTCAGGGGGAGTCCTAAGGGAATGTGTCTTCTTCTTCATTGTCTAGTGCATGTCAGACAATGGGGTCCAGTGAAAAGATTTACCTCCCCAAGTCAGCTATGGCAGTCACCAGGAGACAGGAGATGTGAATCTTGTACAGTGCACATTTCTCTTCTTCCCTGAGAAGCAATCAGCAAATGACACCAATTTTTTTCCACTATAACACAGGACCATGGCAAAGCACTCAGGGGCCTGCCACCCTGTGAATGTCAGTCACTGAAGAAATAATGTCAAGTGTGAAGATGAGGCAGGCTTCCTTATAGTCTCTCCATTCAACTTCACCACTAACAGCGTGTGTGAACACACACTACTGATGAAACCCTTCATGCTCCCTCTTACTTATCTACAAATTACACTAACTGGAATCATCATGCAATTAAATAGACCATAATTTCATTCTGCCCTATTATTCAAATATTCTTTTGTGCTTTAGTTGCTTACATAATATCAAGGTACTTGAAAGCACAAAAACTTCGCTAAACATGGTGGGGAGAGTAACTGAACTGTAATTTCTTTGAAAAGCAACTCCTGATTACGGTAGGGAAGATGAAGCACAAAGTGTCCCACAGGCAAATTCACATCTTTCCCTCTCTTTCTCTTCTTCTGCTTCATTATCTTCTTCTTTGTTTGTTTTTTGTTCGTTTTGTTTTTTGAGATGGTGTTTCTCTATGTAGCCTTGGCTGTCCTGGACTCACTTTGAAGATCAGGCTGGCCTTGAACTCACAGTGATCTGCCTGCCTCTGCCTCCCTGAGTGCTGAGACTAAAGGAGTGTACCACCACACCCATGCCCAGCTTTCCCCTGATTTCTTGCTTCTTTGTGTGAATTGCTAAAATCAAAGCTACCACAGACTTGTCTACCTTTCTAGAAGACTTCCATCTCTAGGTGTTCTTCCTAGGATTAGAAGCACAGGTTCCTGCAGGAGCCTGTAATCATGGCCTTTCTTCTTCTTCTTTTTTTTTTTTTTTGGTATTTAAATTTTGTATTTTATTCACACTTTATTTTCAGCCTGTCTTGGATAAAACAAAGCAGCAGGTCTAAAAGGGATAGGAATATCACACTATTTCAACTTTAAGAAGTCTTTAGGAGGACAAAGACCTGAAATGACACATCTCAACAGATTAAAACACATAGTTATTAGTTTTTTCCTTCTTAAAATACACACTCATTCTGAACTAAGCTCTTCCTATCGAACTTGCCTTCTTTGGGGTACCGCCAATAAACCGCTTTCCTGGGATACTGTACTTGTATAAGAATCTTCTAATTGTCAGCTGCCTGTAGAGTCAAAATTAAGACATTAAGATGGCCTTTCTTCTTAAGACCTCTCTCCTGCACTTACCAGGAAGCCAAAAGATATGCTTATGTTCCACTGCCTCCATTCTACACGTGGACACAATAGTGAAAGACTGGAGTAGAGGAGGGTGTATTCCAGAGCAATATTATTTACTAAGGATATTATGGAGGTGGGATACACATGGAGGAACAGAGCAGTGGGGGAAACTGAGAAGCGCCCTGACTTTACAGGTTCTCATTGGGCACGACCCTGTCATGGAGTTGGTGAGGAAGACTTCATGACTCTCTTGACAATTTCACATTAGGTCCCTGACTTAAGGTGAGACACCCTACTCTGTCTCCTCTCTGGACACTGTGACTCAAGTTATGTAAGTGGCACCATTCTGTACACAGTGGATATAATCAGATCAGAAGATCCCAGCCTGTCCCTCCCTCATGGCACCATGCCTGGCACAAATAGATATATATATATATAAGTCCAGAGCTCTTGAGTATCCATCTTCAGGAAAGATGTTCAGGGCCCCAGGAGCCATGGCCTATGTTCTTCTCTTCAGGCTTCTCTTACTTTTGGTCCTAGCAGCCTTTTCCCAAAGCAAGCGCTTGGGCCCTACATCTCCCCTTCGTTATTCTAGGTTCTTAGATCCTTCCCATGCTGTCCTCCTTCGCTGGGACTTTGATTATGAGGCTGAAATAATCACATTTGAGCTCCAAGTCCAAACAACTGGCTGGGTTGGCCTGGGCATCACAAATCGCTACACCTTTGTGGGAAGTGATCTGGTAGTTGGAGGAGTCCTCCCCGAAGGCAATGTCTACTTTTCGGTAAGTTTAGAGGTGTGTAACATGTGTTGAGTTAAGGATAGCCCATGATAGCTCGGTATCCAAGTGGGTTCCCTAGTAAAGGGAACAGGGACTATTTCTGACATGAACTCAATGGCTGACTCTTTGACCTCCCCCCACCGAGGAAGGAGCAGTCTTGCTAGACCACAGAGGAGGACATTGCAGCCAGTCCTGAAGAAACCTGATAAGCTAGGGTCAGGTGGAAGGAGAGGAGGACCTCCCTATCTGTTGACTTGGAAAGGGGTAGGGAGGAGATGAGGGAGGGAGGGTGAGATTGGAAGGAAATGAGGGAGCAGACTACAGTTGGGATACAAAGTTAATAGAATGTAGCTAATATTAAAAAAATAAAATAAGATAAATCTATAAATAAAAAAAAATATGGCTTCACATCCATAAACTCTAACCTCCATCTTACAGATGAGCTCCTTCACTGGGCTGAGGATGGTTTTGTGTCTAGAGAACATCTTCCTTCTCCAAACACACCCAAGCACACTGAACTCTAGTTGACTGCTGATGTCTCCCTACAAAGATGCTCGAGCATTATAATCTTCTAGGCCACTTGTCTGTAAGACTTTTAAGAGAGGAGAATCTTACAGTAACAGTCTAATACCACTTGCCTGCTGGGAGCAGAGTAAATGCAGGTCACTGGGAAAAATTCAAAGTTATTAGAGACAGTCTCTGGCCTTTAAGCCCACTTAGGTGGACCTCAGTATGAAATTGTCTAGTGACTGCAACGACAGCAAAAGAGCCAACATTAATAGCTGAAAATTGTTTTGTGTTTTTGATTAACTCAGCATTGTTCTAAATTCTTTTCATTTTAAACTCTGTAGCATCACCGAGAGAAATTACTATAATTTAATGACTCTCAACCTTCCCAGTGCTGTGACCCTTTAATACATTTCTTCATGTTGTGGAGATCCCCAACCATAACATTATTTTTGTTGCTACCTCATAACTGTGATTTTGCTACAGTTATGAATTGTATTCTAAATATCTGATATACAGGATATCTGATATGTGACTCCCATGAAAGTGTCCTTCAACACCCCCAAAGAGGTCACAACCCACAAGTTGAGAACCACTGCTATGATCTGCCTTTTAAAAGTGAAGTAGTAGTTCACTTGTCTCTCAAAACTCACACATTCTAAGCTCAAGATCATAGTTCTGAGCTGCACTCATACACTGTAATGTTCATCATAGTACACAAAAATATATATAATGTATATATGTATATATATATATATATGTATAATATATATATATGTATAATTAGAGCTTCGTGAGAGAGGATGTGGTACAGATCATTCTGAGAGCAAGTTAACTTCTGAAGATTTCAATGGGAAATTATTAGAATTCATGAAGCCAAGATTTGAAGTAAGAATAGTAAAGCCAGGAGGTAAAGCTCCAACAGACATGCTCTGTCCTCTCAGGAAACCCATTTGTGCAGTGGAGGTATCTGGCTTGTCCCATTTTAGCATATACCTGCTGTCCTAAAGCCTAATTGTTTGAGATTCTGGTTCTTACTTTTTAATGGTCACTGGACCCCAGGATCAGCACCTTCTGGATGAAGACACTCTAGAACAGGATGGGAGCCAGGATGCTGAACTGCTAAAGCTGATAGAAGATTCTGGCTCTACCACCATGCGTTTTTCCAGGCCCTTCAGATCCTGTGACCTGCATGATCATGACATTACGGTAAGACGTGGAAATAGAAAAATATTAAGCCACAACCAGCTTCTCCTGAGAGGATATAGTCACCTCAGATCATGCATCCAGACACAAATCATGGGACTATTATCCTTTAATCTTCCTGGGTACTGTCCAATTGTATCACCCCTTGAAATATCCAATCATTCTTTGGCATAGTTCCACACAAGGACTAAATATCCACTTTATTCTCCCCCTATTAAAGGACTCTAACTAGTTCTACTGAACATCCATGTTTGGAGTTCAAGTGTGGATTTGAACACTTTAAGTGTGACACTCTTATTCCACAGGTGTAAAATAGTCAGAGAGAACAATTGGGAAAGGGTTAAGCATTTGTCATGCTTCGGTAGAACAAAAACCAAACTAATCTTGTCTCAAGTTATTCTCATTCCACTGTGTACATGAGTGGCACATATAGGAACCTGAATATAGGTATATGCAAAGAGTGCTGTTGAGTGTCAGGCCTTCAATGTTCATGATGCCCATAGAGTGACACCATGAGGGTCCTGGCTGCCTATGGCCTGGATGATATACCAAAGATGAATCGAGAACGTATTTTTGTCAAGTCCATCTTCTTGCTACAAATACTACACTATGATGATCAAGAGGCCCCTGAAGACACCCTCATCCACGACTTGAAGATCAGTAATGTAAGATTCCACCACATCATCCGTCTGCCTCTGCCCTTTCCAACTCCCCACTCATCCCAGATCTCTCATCCTGCACCCAATACCCACATCCTCCTGACAGTAGAGTCACTATGAGTGTCCGTGGGCCCGTGAAGAATGCCACTCTAGCCCTAAGATGATCTCTGTCCCTTATCCTGACCACTTCCTTGCTTGCCTTGGGTGACCCTCACTCCAGTTCTGCTCAGCTTCTGTGCACGTTTCTCCAGTTTCTCATTCCGGAGGAGGATACCACATATGCCTGCACCTTTCTTCCACTCCCCATTGTCAGCAAGAAGCATCACATCTTCAAGGTTCGTGAACCAAACAGCAAAATCTGCCCAGGGAGAGAAGGCACTGGAGCAAAGGGATGGGCATGTTGGGGTCTGGAAATAAAAACTGTTTCTGTGAGGAAGGAGAAGTGTGGTAGGGCCAGGTGGAGTTTTCTAGGGTTAGAAGTCACACAGTTTCCCGGGCACAGACCAATAACTACCAACACTATTTTATTCAAGTAGAGGAGATTTTGCCAGAAAACAGAGTTAATAAGTTTTAAAGAGAACAATTTCAAGCCCCATCATGAACCCAGAATTGTTCTCTTTTAGTAAGGAAGGTGGGGAAAAAAAAGAAAGAAAAAAAGAGAGGAATGTGGCTCTGCATTGTCAGAATGTAAGAAAATCAAGGGAGAGTGAAATCAAAATCAGTCATCTAACTTTGTATTTGAGAACTTTTAACTTAGTCCAAGTACAAAAATATAATTTTATAAGTTCCAAGGTACAGGGACGGGGAAATCTAAAAAAATAGATTTCAAAATGTTGTGGCCACATATTTGCAAATTGTGAATTGACTAAAGAAAGTCAGAACCTTTGGAATGTCCCTGATGACTTAGCACTGTGAGCTGTGCTCCAAAGAAATGGATTTAAGTATTTGGGGGTTGCTAGAAGAGTCTAATAGAGTCCAGGAAAGATGATAGGCATGGTGGAGAGAAACAGATGAGGAGAAACTCAGAGAAGTGGAGAATGTCACAGCTTTGGTTGAGGGTCGGGGGAGAGAATAAGAATTTGACAGAAGATCTTAACTGCCATTTCCTCTTTTCTCTGTCCAGTTTGAACCCCTGCTGGTGGAACGCAATGAGACGATGGTGCATCACATTCTCGTGTATGCGTGCAGCAACGCTAGCGTGCTGCCCACAGGCATCGGGGAATGCTATGGATCAGACCCTGCCTTCTCCCTCTGTTCCCACGTCATCGCAGGCTGGGCTGTCGGGGGCCTTGTGAGTCCTGACATGGAGGCAGTTGGGGACAGAGAGGTGCATGCTGTAAGGCAGTGGGCTAATGGAAACCTTGGGGCCATAGAAGTTCTGAACGCAAGGTTAGAAACTCAGGCAGGGGCAGAGCTTGGATCCCTTTCTGACATCACTGCCAAGTCTTCCTCTCTCCACAGAGTTACCAGTTTCCAGATGACGTAGGCATCTCTATTGGAACTCCCTTGGACCCTCAATGGATCCGACTGGAGGTTCACTACAGCAATTTTCAGAATCTTCCTGGTGAGTATCCAAAGGGCTTGTGGGAGGGCACTGTGGAAGCCACCTGGTTTTTCTGGATGTAGTCATGTGGCATACACGCTAGATCCTGTTAGTCACAGCCCATTCCAGCATTTCTGAACACTGTACTCACTCCCACCCTCTGAGAAGAGTATTTCTTCCTACTCTAGGCCTACGTGATACCTCAGGGATACGGCTGTACTACACCTCGCACCTTCGCAGATATGACATGGGAGTCCTCGAGCTGGGCATCTCAGTTTTCCCCATTCACTTTATACCCCCTGGTGCTGAGTCTTTCTTGTCCTATGGGCTATGCAAGACAGAGAAATTTGAAGAGGTGAAGCTGAGAGACACACATTCTCTGAGGTTTCTTGTTCTCTGCCAGAGTTCTGGTCCAATCCCTAAACTCACAAGCCTGAGCCACAGTTTTGAAAAGTGATTGAAGCCTGGTGCTCAGAAAAGTGACATGCACAAATTCTACAAGAGAGGAATGAGTCATGGCTTTAGGGACAAAGAAGCTGGGCAAAAAGAGAGAAAGAATGGCTCAATGGGAATAGGGGAGTGAGTGGAACCATCCATCGGGGAAAGCAGTGAACAGAATGTAATGGTCAAGAGACAGGGATAAGGGCCAGAAATGCTGTCTTCTGGGCATACCCAGCCAATACAGTCATGACTTCATAACAGCTGTGGCTGCCTGCAGTGCGAAAAACCGAAGACTGGTCATATCAGCTATCAGTCATGGATCAAGAAGGGGTTTGGGGGGTCCTGTCTTTCCCTGATAAACTATTTTCTACTGATGGGTTGTAGGAGAAGGACAGTCAATGCGCATTCACCGAATTCAGCAGGATCCAACAGATAGTTCCAAACCCACACTCACACAGGTGATCCTGGTTAAACTCAATGGGTGACCCACAAAATATATATATATATATATATATATATATATATATATATATATATATAATAAAACAACAAAAACAAATTTGTGACTATGGGAAGGAGTCTTGCAGGGAAGAAGTGGGTAATGGACTTAGCAGAGAGATTAAAGAGGGAGTATAGTTATCAGAATACATTTCATGCATGAAATTGTCAAAGAACAAAGTCAATGAAATGTAAAGACAAAAAATAAGAGAGTGACTCTTAACCAGAGCAAGAAGATGCTATCAAGCACCAAGGAAGGAAAAGGAAAGCTAGAGATAGGTGTTCTTGGCCAATCAGGTGTGTCTTCTTGTTACAGATGAATGGGGCTCACGTAGCTGACCTACACGTAGCAAGTTACCTGATCCACACCCACTTAGCTGGGCGCTCACTGCAAGTTGCTCAATACAGGTGCTGGAAAAACTCGAACCTCCCCTTCCTTGTATGGGAATAGTTACTGATTCTGCATGATGTTATGACTGGTTTAGAATAAGGAGGATATAGGTTGGAGATGAGTGGTATAGATTGTGAAAGAAGAATCTTTTATATTTACTTTGTGGGCTGTTTGCGTTCACAGAATGAACCTACATACTGTATCTTTATGGGTAGGACCTTCTCTGTGTCATCTTCTCATTTCTCTCTTTCTGTTCTTCTCTCCCTCTAGAAATGGAACCCAACTCCAAATAATATGTAAAGATTATTCCTATGACTTCAATCTGCAAGAGACTAGAGACTTACCTCATCCTGCAGTGATCAAGCTGGTGGGAACCTAAGGGGCAGTTAGTGGCTGGAGCGAGGGAGAGAACAAGAAAGCATAGCTCACTGTTAGGCCAGAAAATTCTAAGACTGTACCAGCTCCTCTCTGACTTACTATTGGTTCTCATGTTTCCCTGTGAATAGGGGGATGAGCTGCTGATAGAATGTAACTACCAGACGCTGGACCGTGATTTTATGACTTTTGTAAGTGTCTTTCTCCACTGCCCTAACAAGTGATGTAGCCCTGAAAGAGAGATGCATTGCATCCTGGCTTTAACTGTCTACTAACTCTGATTGCTCCTGATTATGCCTTTCTTTCCTCTGTGAGGCTTTTACTGCTCTCACACCTCCATGCATCCATGATAGGGAGCAGTTCCATACACTCTACATTAGTGACCAACTAAGACTATGAAAGGATGTATTATGACATCTCTGTCTCCCACCTCCTTCAGGGAGGTGCCCACACCATTAATGAACCTGGAATCATCACTGCTCTGGATTAAGATGTCAGCATAATCATTTAGCAACTTTACAGCCTACGTAAAGTATCCTATATCTTGGCTCCATTCTAAATTCATAAGGAAAAAAGAATAATACTAGCTCATGATATTATTGTAATAATTGGTTAACACATTTAAGACAAAAGTTTCATAATCATTCTTGAGTTAGATGCTCAGTTAGAGCTAACAAGTTACCATGATTTTAAGGAACCCAGCAATCTTATATAAGGGCCAGTTCAGAAAAGGTTGTGTGCTTTTGAGGAAGGAAACACAGCCATACATATTATTGTAAAACAAGTTAGAAGACATCAAAATGGAAAAGTGGGGATAATGGTTCAGGGCTATTTCAGGTATCATAAGACAACACACAGATCATGTAATATAAGTAAGTTTGTCCGGCTCTGGACACACAGCGATGTGGAGTTCTGTAGAACAGAAATGAGAAATCCATTTATCAGCAAAGAATGCTGGGAGTGTGCATGAAGAACAATGAGCTTCGGTATGGGTAAAGGAGTGAGGGAAGACACAAAGGAACAGAGTGTGGTTGAGGGAGTTGAGGTTGGGAATAGCTCTTAGAATACAGACAATGCTGTTTACCTACAACTCTCAGGCAACAAGGGTGAGCTGTCACCTTATACATGCCAGATCAGTAATAGAAGGGAATAGATAGCTTGAGTTTTGTGGTGTATAATTCAATAATTTGTCTCAGAATAAATTATGTCAGTCATGGTGGCATTCACCTCTAATCCTACACTAGGGATACAGAGGCAGGTGTATCTCTGTGAGTTCGAGGCCAGCCTGGTCTACAAAGCAAGTCCAGGACAGCCAGGGCTACATAAAGAGACCCTGTCTCAAAAAAACAAGAGACAGTATGATGCCACTGAAGTTCACTGACTAGGCATGTGAGACAGATGTTTTCACGTATCCTTACAAAGTCAGATCCCTTGTGTCTTAGAAACAAATGATCTGACAGCTGTGGAGAGAGGAGACTGTAGTAAGTCCAGGTCGGTGACTGGCACTCAGTGCAAAGTTGAGAGTCTAGCCCACACCAGGGTCTGATAGTAGAAATGTAGAGGATAAGGAAGATATGTAGGATATTTCTTTAGAAATAACACCATTACTTGTTCAATGGCTGTAAGCAGAAGAGAAGAAAGAAAGAGACGTGGTAAGGCACAGTGAGCCAGACACTAGGAGAAGAGAGAGCTCTCTGGAAGAATGATAAGCTTCACAATTTGTGGCTTGCCCTATCCCTCTCTGCATGATTTGATATCTTCATCTCTCCCTCTCTCACCTTCTCCAGGGAGGTACCAGCACTATTAATGAGATGTGCCTCGTCTTCTTGTTCTACTATCCCAGAATCAACATCTCCAGTTGCTTAGGATACCCTGATATCATCTATGTGACCAATGAACTGGGGGAAGAAGCATCAGAGTGAGTGCTTACAAAAGCTTAAATCCACAAGCTTGTGGGAAGGGATCTTGAAAGGATCTGGAAAGAAGCAAAAGGAGTCTCACTCATTCCTCTGAGGCTGTTGAGCCAGGGAGTCATCAGTGAGCGGCCTAATCAAACCCTGACACCCTCACCCTTACTCTTTTCAGTGTTGAATCAAAATAACCCAGAAGCAAAAGACACACATGGTATATACTCACTTATAAGTGGATATTAGACATACAATATCAGATAAACATACTAAAATCTATAGTCCTAAAGAAGCTAAACAACAAGGAGGCCCTAGGGAAGATGCTTCATCCTCATTCAGAAGGGCAAACAGGATAGACATCGAAAGTGGGAAAAGAGACAAGAATCAGGACAGGAGCCTACCACAGGAGGCTTCTGAAAGACTTTACCCAGCTGGGTATCGAAGCAGATGCTGAGACTCATAGCCAAACTTTGGGAAGAGTATAGGGAATTGTATGGAAGAGTGGGAAATAGAAAGACCTGGAGGGGACAGGAGTTCTATAAAGAGACCAACAGAGCCAAAAAATCTGGGTTCAGGGATCCTGCAGAGACTGATGAATTAACTCTAAGACCGTGCATGGAAAGAACCTAGCCCCTCTGCTCAGATGTAGTCCATGGGCAGCTCATTCTCCATGGGGGTTTTCTAGGAAGGGGAACAGGAACAGTCTCTGATATGAACTCAGTTGTCACCTCCCCCTGGTGGGGTGGCCTAATTAGGCCACAGGGAAAGAGGATCCAGATGATGAAACCTAATAGGTCAGACAGTAGGGAAGAGGACTTCCCCTAGCAGTGAACTAGCAGAGGTACATAGGGGCAGGGAGAAAGGGAGGGTGAGAAGGGGGAGGGGAAGAGAGATGAGGGAAGAGGCTACAGCTGGGATATAAAGTGAATAAATTGTAATAATAATAATTTTAAAAAGCTCTAAAAACAGAAGTTTTGTAAGAAAGTGTCTGCATCCGGAAGGGCATTCAGAGAAGCAGATAACAACCAATCAAAAGAGAGGATGACAATTACCCTTAACAGTCAGAATCCCTTGTGCATAAATTCCTGTTTTTCTGGCTTAACTCAAAAACTGGTTTACATTCATGTTCCAACTTCTAAGTTAAAGCCCACTCTAGAAGACTCTATTAGGAAGCTGGGAACATCTTTCTTAACAGATACTTACAACTTTAAGGCAATTGCAGATTTTCTTTCTTTTTTTTTTTTTTTTTTTTTTTTTTTGAGGGGGGGTGTTGAGACAGGGTTTCTTTCTATGTAGCTCTGACTGTCCTGGAATTTTCTCTGTAGACCAAGTTGGCCTTGAACTCACAAAGATGCACCTGCCTCTGTCTCCCGAATAAAGGTGTGTGCTACCACATCCTAGCTAATCGCAGGTTTACTGAAGCTCAACTTCTCAGACCCTATGTCACCCTTTTCTCAATAACTTAAGTTCTCTCTGATTTTTTTTTTCTTACCAACTCACAAAAAAATCCTATTTAGTTATACATTTCATGTAGTTTATACCCATGTGGAAGAAAGATATGAAAGATATGCTAGCAAAAATGGAAGTGTTTTCAACACATTTTGTCAGAACTGAAAGTCAACACTGATTATTGTCATATCCCTGCCCTAACCCTACTACCCACAGGAATCCCATGGAGAACCTGATGGTCCTGAATAATGTTGAGTGGACTCCAGAGAACATTAAGAAGGCTGAGAAAGCCTGCAAGGAGTCCCAGCAGACAGTGGTGATCAAAAGCATTGATGTGCGTGTCACAGGGATGCCACCCTGCAGGGCTGGGTGATGGTACTGGGCAAGGAAAGGACAGATGAAGGATAATGGAAGCAAATAACAATAACGGGAAGCCTGAACTGGGAGAGGGAGCCCAAGGAGGCAGAAAGGCAAGCTGTTGCTGCCCTGCATAGTAGATGTTGTTAGAACCTCCCAGTTAGCTTGTAAGGGTCGGGGAGTAGAGTAAGGTTTCAAGAAAAGGAAAACAAGGGAGGGGGCTACAGCTGGGATACAAAGTGAATAAATTGTAATAAAATAAATTTAAAAAAAAAAAGAAAAGGAAAAGAAGTAGGAACATTTCTGAATTTACTTATTTTTTTTCTAATCTCCTGCAGGAGGAAGTAGAAAATACAACAGGTTGGATTCCTGATATTACCCCTATTCCTCGGGAGCCATGCTTAGAGTCTTCTGGAGGGAAAGTGGAACCTCAGGACAAGACCCATGCAGGCTTCAGGGCTGCAGCAGTGGCCCTCCCTGGCTCCAATGTTGCTACTCTGAGGCCCTTGCCCCTGGTTGCTTTCTTGTTCCTGCAGGCTATCCTCTCATGGCTCCTTGCCATGCTGCAGATTGAAATATGATTCTGTCATCTCATACTACCTACTTCCTGGTCATGTGCTACAAAAACAACTCCCTGATTTGACCCCTGTAAATGTCCTTTGTCCGTGCCACTTTCCATAACCCAAACCATGACACGGCAGGCTCTAGGACTTTGCTCACAATTCACTGTTCAAGTCACTGTTCAAGTTCCTTAAAATTTCAGAACCATTGATAGAATCACATGATTTCTGAGAATTTCAGACTCTCCAAGTCTGAGAGTAAGATGGTGGATCCACTCTCCACGAATTCTAGTGTGCTGTTGTCTTTCAGATTGATGCTATGAGTAGGATGGGTCTTAAGGGCAGAAGGAGATTAAAGCCCTTGGCATGTGCGTAGTCCCGGAGAAGGGTATTATTTCTCTTTTATAATAATATCTTGTGTCCAGTCCTTTCTGAAGCAATGTGAATATGCTATAGGTATACTAGAAAGCAAAGGACAATTTGTGGCAAAGGAAGGAACTCTCTTTATATACATCTAAATTTCCTAAGTATTACATTAAATAGAATTCAACTTGCTTCTTTTGGCAGTTTCTTTTATTTGAGTCTTGATTCAGGAGAAGGAGCTTGGAAGCCTCCTGAGTTGCCAAGATTAAAGCATAAGGTGTTTTGTTTTGTTTTGCCCCAAATAAAACATGTAAAATGTCATTCTTGCCCTCCACCCTGAGTCTCTACCATTGGATAATATTTGGTTATCCTACCACATGTTATATTGTCACACAAGCATTATTCAAGGTGAAGAATCTATCTGGGAAGGCAAGGTGAGTTGATCTCTGAGAATAAGCGGAAATCAAACTAGAGAAAATTAAGTTCTTAGCCCTAGAGCATAACGCTTGTTCGAGAATCCTACAGGGGAAAGCATAGAGACAAAGTGCAAACAACTTGTGGAGTTTCCGTTGTTACTAAAAGTCCAGGAGAATGAGCTTATTTGGTATTTTCTGGAAGCCATGTCTATTAATTCATAGCTAGACTTAAAGTCACTTTGTCAATCTACAAGTTGCTTTGCTTAGTATGTTCTCTAGAAGGCAACCATTCTGTTGGTGTCCCAAAGTGTTTGACAGGATCTTAATCCTCTGACAATCAAGAACGTGATTTCAGCAAACTCTACCACAGCTTCAGGGACTGTGATATGATATCATAGCCATGCTTCCTGATGCAATCATCTGCCTCCTAGTCTTCTAGCCCTGGCAAGGTACACTGAGGACATGAAAAGCAATGAGTGGGTTACTTTGACTGTCATTGCTACAATTTGACAATATTTAAGGCACTTCACCTTTAGAATCTACAACATATTCAACTACTGAATGGATCAGAACCACTTCCAAGCTCCTTAATATGTAAACAGAAGGCCTTGCACACCTTAATCAAAGAGGATTTTACAAGTTCATGTCTCTTTAGGGTGTCTTTCTAGACCATTTATAGTATCGCCCAACAATTTAGTAAGCAATCTTTTGAGGAAATATTGAATCAGATGTAAATGAACTGAGAAATATGGCATAAGGAAATTTTTATGGGGCAAAAATTTTAAACCACACAGTTTTAAAATCAATTTTTACTTTGGTGCATATTATCTAGGCATAGTGAAAGGTCTTGGATTTGACATTCAATGGGGGATACGAAGACAAATTGTACTTTTGTGAATGAGGTTATCAAGAGTCATTAATATCATAAGCAGACAGCAGCATGGCAGAGATTGAAGCTAGCTCCTTCTTGTAGGTTTCAGTGGAGGAAGTTTATATATCTCAGTTGATGATGAATGGTCCATTTGCTCCTTGTAGTCAGGCCATCTCTGATTCTGGGAAGGGCGTAATGGGATCCTGCATTCTCAGCATGGGAGAAAAGAATCTTGCTAACTTGTGACTTAGAGGATGTCAGGTAAGTAGGGAAAATGGCACATTTAATGAAGGTATAGTAAATATAGGGACGGAGAATCTATCAACAGTTGCCCTCTGATGTCTTCAGTCTGGTGGCCTGGATCTGGAAACTTCTTTGCAGAAATGAGACTTAACTTGGTAGCTATGACCTCAGATCTGAGGGAGGAGGGCAGAGATTGTCAAAAGCCTTGGAGCATGCTGGATAGCAAGTCTACCTAATTGATGATCTCAAATTTCATTGATCTTGTCTTAAAAATAAGGTAGAAAATAAATAATATCATCCTATCACTCTTGGGTTGTTCTGACATTTCTGTTTTTATTCTACTGAAATTACAGCAATACTTTTCATTTTGGTAGTTATGGGATCATTAAAAGCAAATATTACTAAAAACAACTCCAGAAAATGAAGACAAAATTTCAAACAGAGTTTTTATGCTTTATTAAATAAAATCCTAAAGTTAGGGATTATATGCTATTGGGGGTACATAGGACAGCAACACACATTCTTTTTTGTTTTGATGTATATTTCTTTATTAATTACGTTTGATTCATTTTGTATCCCAGTTGTAGCCTCCTTCTTCTTCCCCTCCCAATCCCACCCTCCCTCCTACTTCTCCTCCCATGCCCCTCCCCTAGTCCAATGATAAGGATGTCCTCCTCCACTTCCATCTGACTCTAGCCTATCAGATCTCATCCAGACTGCCTGCATTGTCTTCCTCTCTGGCCTGGCAAGGCTGTTCCCCTCTGAGGCAGAGGTGATCAAAGAGACAGCCACTGAGTTCATGTCAGAAACAGTCCCTGTTCCCCTTACTAGGGTACCCACTTGGACACTGCATTGCCATGGGCTACATCTGTGCAGGGTTCTAGGTTAGCTCCATGCATGGACCTTGGTTGGAGTATCAGTCTCACAAAAGACCCCTGTGTCCAGATTTTTTGGTTCTGTTGCTCTCTTTGTGAAGCTCTGTCCCCTCCAGGTCTTTCAATCTCTCCCTTCTTTCATATGATTCTCTGCACTCTGCCCAAAGTTAGGCTATGAGTCTCAGCATCTGCTTTGATACCCTGCTAGGTAGAGTCTTTCAGAGACCCTCTGACAACATATATTCTTAAGTGAATGATTTCCAAAACACCCTAATTTACAATTTGAAAAATATTATTGAATTATATGTGTATATGTGGCTGTCCACTTAGTATTAACTTGATCACAATCTTGCAGTGAAGGTTTTGATAGGTCTGACTTAAACTGACCATTTTTTTTGGGAACAAGAATCAAAAAGAAATTGTCAGGTAAAAACTCCCAACTACTGCTAAAATACTGATTGCTGAGGGAGGTGAGTAGAATTCTTAATGAAATCAAGTGATAGTTTTAGAAGGTAACATACGAAAAGCTAAATAAATTCCAGGCTAAACCTAATGCAATTTAGTGCATGTGTGTTCATGTGTACTATATGCACGCACAAAAATGTGCGTGCATATTTACATGTACACAAGCCTATCTATGCATGGAGGCCAGAGGTCAACCTCAAGTATCCTTTCTTAGGCACCTCTGACCCAGTTTGGGGGCAGGCTTTCTCACTGACTTTCAACTTACCAAGCAGATGAGACTGGCTGGATAGCAAGCCCCAAGATTAGTCTGTTTCTTTCTCCAACTCCATGGACTATAAGCATGAGCCACCATAGCCAGCTTTTTCGTATGGGTTCTGAGGATCCATAACAAGTCTTCATGCTTATAAGCAAGCATTCTATCAGCTGAGCTACCCCCCCTTGCCTTTTTTAAAAATATTATTATCTATTCTCCAGACTAAGTAGTATATAAACACTCTTCATATGATGACCCTCACAGACTGAGACCAAGCTTTTATTTTTGTCTAACTGGTCTATGAGGAGATTTAAACACAGCCAAACATTAGCAAGAGCTTGGGAAGTCCTACAGAAGAGTTGAGAAAATGATTGAGGGAGGCAGAGGGGTCAGGGACTAAACAGGAAGATCTACAGAGTCAACTAACCCGGGCCCATGGGGGCTCAGAGACTAAACCACCAAGTAAAGAGTGTGCATTGGCTGGTGCCAGATCCCCTGCACATATGTAACAGGTGTGCAGCTTGGTCTTCATGTGAATTCTGCAACAACTGGAGTGGGGGCCCTCTCTCACTCTGAAGCGTCCTTTGTATCCCATTTCCCTAATAGGGTTGCTTTGTCTGGCCTCAGTGGGAGAGGATGTGCCTTGTTCTGCAGGGGACTAATGTGCCAGAGTGGGTTGGCACCCACGGTGGACCCCCCCTTCTCTGAGGGGAATAAAAGGGGAAAATAGGGAGAGAGGAGGGGAGATGGGAGGAGAGGAGGGGGCTGCAATCTGGATGTAAAGTGAGTAAATAAATAAATAATTTTTAATTAAAAAAATTCTCATTGTAGAGCAATTAAAAGAGATAGGCACTCTATATCGGCTTCTGGAGTCCACACACATGAGGCCACATGTGTAGGTATTTACACATACACAACATGAGCATATGCATATTTATCACACATACAAAAGCAAACTTTCAGACCCACAACTTACCCCTAAGTTTGTACTGACAAAAATGCGCCATGTTGGATTTCTCTTGGTAAAAATACAAAATACGGAGCCCATGCCATATTCTATAGAGATACTTATGAGCTTTGTCTTGGTTAGAAGGATCAGACAAGAGCCATGTAATCCCTAAACAAAGGCCTCAGCCTTATTCAAGTGGCTATAACTTGTGGGCAAATTCCAGGAAACAAGCATAATGGATGAACCCATGACCTTCATGGGGCATGCCACTGCATGATTCAGAACACAGCACCTCTGTGGTGGCAAGAAGCCAGGAAGATATTTGTAGAAGACGAAGGGATATTCAAGTAGAGTAACTCAAAGATGCTGGGATTGCTCTTGGTATAATTGACCAGTACAAGAGGGTGGGAACATGATACATGGTAGACGTAAGGAAGCTTTCAAATTCTTTGGTCTCAGGGTCTCTATATATTTAAAACCAGTCAAGGCATCGTGTTGCCCATGTGAGTTATACCTGCTAATATTTACTGAATGCAAACTTTGAATTGAATCATTTACAAGATATTTTATAAATATTTATTTTGTT